GAGACTCCTAACTTTATTACTTTATTAATAATCATTTTCAAATGTCCTCCTGGTTTAACATCTCATCCGAAGGACGAGGCAAGTCTCAAAATGTACCTCTTTGTCCGTGCTTTTGGTTAACTTTCCTCTTTCCCCCCGGCCTCCACTTCCAGACAGCGATAGCAATGGCCAAGCTATGTGGGTTTAGCTGGTTAGACTCCAGCAGTTACCCCAACCCACGCTCTGGGCCCCCCCCCCAAGCCTTGGCTCATGTGTCCCTCCAGGGAGAGAGAGAGCGCAAACCCTCCTGCTTGGGTGCCCATTCCGCATTGTTAAGTGCTTTGATAAATAATAACAATTCTTATGTTTAGTACTCAATGCCTTTCATGTTGGAAGGATCTCCCAAAGCACTTCACTATTGACTGTGTATTTTGAGGGGAAACCCTCAGAAAATTTGTGCACAGCAGTGAGTCCCACAAACAGTCATAGAGTGAGAGACCAATTTTCTCTGGGGATTGTTGTCCAGGACACCGGGAGAGAGAGAGAGAGAAACTCCCTTCTCTTTCCCAATACCCCCGCGGGATCTGTAACATCCACCTGAACAGGTACAGACGGGACCTCAGTTTAACATCTCACCTGAAGGACGGCACCTCCCACAATACAACCCCCCTCCAGCGCTGCCCTGGAGCCTCAGCTCAGACTGTGTGACTGACTCCAGGTCCTGACGTGGGGCTTAAACCCACAACCTTCTGACTCACACGCGCGAGAGAGAGAGAGAGCGATACACACTGCGAGACATATCAAGGTTTCACAAATCAGGTGTAAACTCTTTTTGCACAAATCCTAACAGGATCGAAGTTTCTTATAAAAATGCCATTCTTTTCAAGTTTCAGAATCACGATTTTTATTCTCCACCTTTGCAATATGTCTCAGTTATTTCAAGCAACTAAGTATAAAACAGTCTTAGTCCATAAAGAGTCCACATAAACACATTGTGGAAACAGCGCAATGCCCCCCACCCACCCCCCCCACCCCGGAGAAACCATGGTTCAGTTCAAATAAAGTAAACTCTCGATTTAAAGGGAAAGCAAATAAGAATGGCCATCAGGTTCACACTTCCAGGTTGCTGTTGACATGCAGAAAGCTGAAAGTTTACTGTATTTCCAGTCAGCGTGATCCACTGGACTTATAAAAGATAACAGGATTGGCCTGTGTGTCTGTGTTGTATGTTTGTGTGTGTGTGTGTGTGTATGTATGTATGTATGTATGTATGCATGCATGTATGCATGTATGTGGGTGTGTGTATGCATGTGTGTGTGTATGTATGTGTGTATGTGTGTGTGTATGCATGTGTGTGTATGTGTGTGTATGCGTGTGTGTCTATATGTATGTATGTGTGTGTGTATGTGTGTGTCTATATGTATGTATGTGTGTGTGTATGTGTGTATTACATTATACTCTGGGTCTACATTGCAGTATTTCTTAATAATACGTTCCATGTTTTTAAAAAGCAATATTTACACATTCTTTGTTACGCAGTCGGTTCCCCTGTGATATATAACCATCTCGATTGACAGCACAGAGGCCATTCAACCCATTGTGTCTGTGCTGCTCTTTTAAGAATAATCCTTGTGTTGACTCCTTTTTCGGTATTTACCTAGTTTCCTTTTGAAAGCTAATACAGATTCTGAATTGACCACAGCTCCCGGGCAGGACATTCCATATCCTAACCACTCAGTGTAAACATTTCTCCTAACTTCCCCATGTGCTAACTGCTTTAAATTGCCCTCGTGTTACTGACTCTTAGACCAGTGGAAATAATCTTTCTCTATTGACTATCAAAACCGATCATCATTTTATAGACCTCGATCAGATCACCCCTCAACCTTCTTTGTTCCAGCAGAAAATGTTCCAGTTCCTCTAGTCTCTGATCATATACCAAACCCCTCATCCCCGGTGTCATCTTAGTAAATCTAACCATTTACAGGAATTTATCATGACCTCTTTACTTTTATGTTCTATATGCATACCTATAAACCTAAGACTTGATTAACTTTATTGACAGCTTTGTCAGCCTTCCCATGTCCTCTTGCCGTCTGTTACTATCCTCCTCACTGTTTACTACGTTTCTTCGCTTAGTATCATCTGCAAACTTGTGGGGCACCACTGCACACTTCCCTCCAGTCAGGAAAACAACCGTTCACCACCACTCTCTGCTCTCTGTCTCCCAACAACAACAACTTGGATTTATATAGCGTTAGAGTAGTCCAGCCGAGAGGTGACAAAGGCATGGATTAGAGTTTTCAGCGGCTTTTGGGGAGAGGTATTGGCGGAGACGGGCGATGTGTCGGAGGTGGAAGAAAGCGGTGCTGGTGAGGGACCGGATGTGGGGGAGGAAGGATAATTGGGGGTCGAACCTGACCCTGGGTTGTGTACGGGTTCGGAGAGTTTTAGGGGGAGGTCGGGAAGGTGGAGGAAGTGAGAGCCATGAGATTTTAGACGTTGACGAGAGCCGAAGAGTATGGTTTCCATCTTGTCAACGTTCAGCTGAAGGAAGTTTGCACTAATCCAGCCCCTGAGATCTGACAGGAGAACATCAGGGGACTGGGGGGGTGCAAAGAGAGGTGGAAAAATAGAGTCATCTGAATACATGTAGAAGTGTACCCAATGTCTGCGGATGACATCCCCAAGAGGGAGCATGTAGATCAGAAAGAGGAGGGGGCCAAGGATGGATCCTTGGGGTACCCGCAGGTGACCGGGTGAGAGTGGGAGGAGAAGCCGTTTGTGCAGATGTACCGCTGGTGGTTCGTGAGACAGGACTCGAACCGGGCGAGTGCGGTCCCACTGAGGTGGATGGCAGAGGAAACGCGGTGGAGGAGGATGGTGTGATCGACTGCATCGAACGCGGTGGAGAGGTCCAGGAGGACAAGGAGGCAGAGGGAGCCCTGGTCACAGATAGAGAGGATGTCGTTTGTGACTTTCACAAGTGCAGTCTCTATACTGTGGGCGGAAACCGGACTGGAGGGGTTCGAAGAGGGAGTGGGAGGAGAGGTGTGCGCGGAGTTGGTTGGCAACAACGCGTTCTAGAGCTTTTGAGTGGAAGGGCAGGTTAGAGATAGGGCGGGCTGTTTGAAAAGAGCTTCCAAATCAACCCCACTCCCCGCTCTCTCCCCATAGCCCTGATCAACCCCACTCCCCCGCTCTCTCCCCGTAGCCCTGATCAGGCGTTGGCAGCATCAGCCTCCATGGCTGCACCCTCACTAAGCCAGTCAGGAACCTGGGAGTCTTGTGTGACCCTGAACTGTCCTTTCTCCCCCACATCCGCGCCATGACCGGCACTGCCCATCACCACCTCCGCAACATTGCCAGACTCCGCCACTGCCTCACCCCTCAGGCCCCCAAACCCTCACCCACACATTCATCACCTCATGGCTCGATTACAGGAACTCCCTCCTCATCGGCCTTCCCAACACTTCCCTTCACAAGCTGCAGATCATCCAAAACTTGATTCCTCCCTCGCCTCCTTCAAGGTCAGTCTCAAGACCCTTTTCTTCGATCGTGCCTTTGGTCTCCCTCCCACCTCTCTGCCTTCCCTCACCCCTACACCACCCCTCCCCCATGCTCGGGCCCCGACACCTGACTGTTCAGCACTTTGGGGTGTCCTCCCGACGTGAAAGGGGCTCTCTATAGATGTAATTTTGTTGTTATTGTTGTATAATTCTATGATTGTTTGATACCTGCTCTCCTTATTCTTCTTTCCAAAACGTATAATCTCACTCTTGAAGGCATTAAATTTAATTTGCTATTTCTTTGCCCATTAACTAATCTGTCTATGTTCCCCTTAAATTGTTAGCTATACTCCAGTAGAGACATCTCAAAGTGTTTCACAGAATACACTGTAAAGTGAATTGACTGTATATTTTGTGGCCGAAACACGGCAGCCAATTGCGCACAGCAGCGTCCCACAAACAGCCGTGGTAAGTTGCCTCCACAAGGCACATCTCAAGACCCCTACTTCGACAGTGCCTTCAGTCACCCTCCTACCCCTACCCTCCCTGCCGTCCACCCCTCCTGATACCAACTACCAGCTTGGGTCCAAATCCCTGACTGTCTAGGGCCTTGGGACGTCCTCCCAATGTGAAAGGCGCTGCGTAAATATGATTTGTTATTGTTGCCCGGACCCATTTCACTCGTGGATCTTTCTCAAGAGGAAGAGAAAAAGAGAGAAACAGATACGGGTAACAAGATACCGGGGAGTGGGAGACAGGACAGAAGAAAATCTGATAAATTAACAGTGCAGAAAGAGGACATTTGGTCCATCGAGTCTGCATCGTCTCTCAGAGCGAGCTGTCCATTCCAGCTCACTGCCCTGCCCTATCCCCATACCCCTTCAAGCCTCTATCCCTCATATACCTGTCTACTTCTCTCTTAAAACCCACAATGGACTCTGCCTCTCCCACCTAACTTGGCAAGGCTTTCAACCTCCTAATTAGTCTCTATGTGAAGATAATTCTCCGAAGGTCTCCTTTTGCTGTTCTTCGGCTGCTGTAAATCCAGGTATTCCAGTAACTGACTGCCCTACCAATACCAGAGAGAAAGAGAACAGGAGAGAGAGGACCGAGTGAGGAGTTAAGACAGACAGATAGGGAGACAGAGAGAGAGTGAGAGAGAAGAAACAAGACAGAGAGATAGAGAGGAACAGAAGAAAAAAAGAGACAGAGGGAGTTTCTTTAAAGAGTAGTTGAGAAAGAAAAAGAAACAATGAGAGAGAAACAGTGAATGAGAAACAAAGATAGATAGATAAACAAACAGATAGATAGAGAGAAACAGAGATAATAATAATCCTCGCATTTGACAAGAGAAACAGAAAGACAGAGAGAGAAACAGAGATGGCAAAGCAGATGGAGAGAGAGAAACAGGTAGATAGAGAGAGAGAGACACAGAGATAGAGAAACAGGTAGATAGAGGGAGAGAGACACAGAGATAGAGAAACAGGTAGATAGAGGGAGAGAGACACAGAGATAGATAAAGAGAGAAATAAACACAGACACACAGGACAGATAGGAGCTTCCCCTATGAAGAGAGCAGGAGAGACAGTGTGGTAACCTGTGTCACTTCAGTCCTGATCACAGCGGCAGAGCTCACTTGCGGAGCTGCAGCAGGGCTGGAGCCATGGCTTCCACAACATGTTGAGAGGTGACAGCTGGCAGGGGACTGGGGCTAAAGTCCTCTGGTGCCGCTCCACCGCCTCCTGTATCCCCTCCAGCGCCTGGTGGTAGCGGGGGTCTGTGTCAGGGGCCAAGGGCGAGGACTCGGCCGGGTCAGACTCGAGATCGTAGAGCAGGGTGGGTTGTGCCAAGTGACTGAGCTCCCAAAGCAGAAGCACACGTGGGTGTCGAAACAGCCTTGTGCTCCTTCTGGGCTAAAGTTCGGTGTGAAGAAATGGGCCTTCCACACAGCGGAGCCTGTAACACAATAGCATCAAACTCGTTACACACACACAGCACTTCCCACTGCATCGCAAGACATAATAATAATATTATTAATTATAATAATCCTTGCATTTGATACAGCGTCTTATCACGTCATTGAGACGTCTCAATCTCAATCACAAGATATACTGTAAAGTGTAGTGACTGTATATTTTGTGGGTTAAACGCGGCAGCCAGTTATGCACAGCAGCGTCCCACAAACAGCCGTGGATTGAGTGACCACATTTTTTTGTTGTTACTATTGTTTTTTGGAGGGATTATTACCATCGGAAAGCGACGCACCAATCGACTAACAACTGGTTTCCTGCTTACTGCGAGGTAAATAGAGGTGTGTGGAGTGAGGAAACTCGCTTAAGATTTACGAAAAAAAAATAATTTGGTCACTTCAACCCATGACTGTTTGTGGGACGCTGCTGTGAAGAGCTTTGAGATAACTAGAAGTGGATCCTGTAGCTCAGTGGTTAGAGCACTCGCTTTGCAAGCGAGAGACCTGAGTTCAATTCCAGGCAGAGGGCGAAACCTTGGGCAAGTTTCCTTACTCCACACAGAGCCTAATAATAATCCTCCAAAACCAAAAACAATAATAAATTGGTCATTTTCAATCCACGACTGTTTGTGGGACATTGCTGTGCGCAATTGGCTGCCGCGTTCGCCCACAAATATACAGTCAATTCACTTTACAGTGTGTTCTGTGAAGCGCTTTGGGAGGTCGAGAAGACGTGAAAAAACGCTATATCAAATGCAAGGATTATTATTATTAAGTTGTGATAAGGCTCTGCATCAAATGCAAAGATTAATATTATTATAAAACTACTGTGTTGTAAATCTGTCAGTCATGTGAGAACGCATGAAATATTACTCCGGTGTAATTACCTCTGCATATTTAAACAAGCATTACTGAAATGTGTGAAACAGATGTGTTGTCAGGTGTCTGTGTGCTGTGTGAGTCGATGGGCAGTCATGGGGGAGGGGGTTGGTGGGAGGGAGGAGTGCAAAATGCCTTAACCACACTGGCACAGTAATAATAATGTTAATAAATCTTGCATTTGATGTAACGCCTTATCATATCTTTGAGACATCTCAAAACTCTTCACAGATTATACTGTAAGGTGTAGTGACTATTTTTGCGGGCGATTGACTTTTTTTTAAAATTAAAAATTTGGGTTTGTCCTGGCCAAAGCACTGGGAGAGAGAGAAACTCCCTTCACCTTTCAAACAGCGCTTCGGAATCTTTAACGTCCACCTGAACAGGCAGACGGGAGCTCAGTTTAACATCTCGTCTGAAGGATGGCAGTGGAAGCCAGAGAGAGAGAGAGAGAGAGAGAGAGAGAGATCCATGACTGTGGTGCCAACTTTTTCAAGGTCACAGAAGGAAAGGGAAGATCAAAACAATATAATCATACCAGTAAGTACCTCTTGCACAATCCAAAGTTAACTTGGACATAACAGCGGGGGAGCACAGTTACCAGGGGCAGTGTGTGTGTGAGGGAAGATAACGGTTGGGGGGGGGAAACGGGGGCGGTTGTGCGGACAGATGAGGAACTACAAGGAGAGCTCTCTCATAGATCTGGCAAAACAACTTACATTCCTATTGCCTTTCACATTGCGAGGATATCTCAAAAGTGCTTCACGGAAGCTGTGGGGAGGTTGGGGGGAAAGAAAGATGACTCAAAGTCATCTTTGTTCTTAAGGAGTAAACTACAGGGGTAATCCTTATATTAATACTTGCATTTGATGTAGGACACTATCGTGTCGTTGAGACGTCTCAAAGCGCTTCACAGAATATACTGTAGATTGTGTATTTTTGGGGCGAAACACGGCAGCCAATTGCGCACAGCAGCGTCCCACAAACAATCGTGGATTGAGTGACCAAATTATTACTTTTTTTTGGAATAATTGACCGGAAAGCAATCCGCCAATCGACTAACAACCAGGTTCTTACTTATTGCTAGGTACACAGAGGCGTGTGGAGTAAGGAAACTTGCCTAAAGTTTCACCCGGCCTAGGAATTGAACCGGGTGCTCTCGTTTGAGAGGCGAGCGCTCTAACCACTGAGCTACGAGACAGGTAAAAAGGGATGGAAAAGATTGCTTTTAGGCTTGATCTGAAGATAGGGATGAGCAAGGTGGAGGGATTGGGGGAAGAGAGTTCCAGAGTTTCGGGGTGTAGTGGCTGAAAGCGAGGCTACTGATGGTGGAGCGGAGGGCACGAGGGAAAAGCAAGAGGCTTAGTTGTGTGGAAGAGTAAACAGGTGACTGGGAGAGGTAGGGAGGTGCAGCGCGTGAAGAATTTCAAGGTGAGTGTGAGGATCTTGAAATCGATCCGTTTGATGATAGGGAGCCGATCGAAGGGAAGCCACGTGATAATGAACCTGACCAAGAAGAAATGTGAGACTCACTGTTCTTTGGCTGCCACCGAACTGCGCTGAGGTATGCATTACAGTAGTGGAAGAGAAATTCATGTTCTGAATGCTGTACCTTCCCCAGGAGCAGAGGCATCAGATCTCGGCCGTCTATCAGTCTGAGACACAAGGACAAATCATAATAATAACAATAATAATAATAATCCTTGCATTTGATACAGAGCCTTATCACGTCGTTGAGATGTCTCAAAGCTCTGTATAGAATATACTGTCAAGTGACTTGACTGTATATTTTGTGAGTGAAACGCAGCAGCCAATTTGCGCACAGCAGCGTCTCCACAAACAGTCGAGGATTAAGTGACCAAATTATTATATTAGTATTTCAAATAATCATTCTTCAAAGGGATTATTACCCCCGGAAAGCGATCCGCCAATCAACTAACAACTGATAATTATTTCACAAAAAACAGTCACTACACTTTAGAGTGAATTCCTGTGAAGCGCCTTGAGATGATCTTGACATCCTTCTCAATAATAATTAATAAGTGTGAGCAAAAAAAAGTAATAATAATTTGGCAACTGAATCCATGACTGTTTGTGAGACGCTGCGGTGCGCAATTTGCTGCCACAATTCACCCACAAAATTCAGTCACTTCACTTTACAGTATATTTTGAAGCACTTTGAGACGTTTTATTGGTGCTATGTTGGAGCCTGACAGGCCCCGGCTCCACTGGCTCCCCATCACTGAACGCATCAACTTGAAGATCCTCAGTTGTGCTCAAATCCCCTCCCTCCTTACCTCCCTCACTCCCCAATCCACCACCCGGTGCCTCTGCTCGACTGGCACCGGCTCCTGCTCATCCCTTGCACCCTCCGCCCCACCATCAGATGTCGCGCTTTCAGCCACTACGCCCCGAAACTCTGGAACACTCTCCCTCAATCCCTTCGCCTCGCCACGTCGCTTTCCTTTCAAGTCCCGCCTGAAAACCTTCCTCTTCAATCGTACTTATGACTACCTCCCCCTTCCCCACCCCCGGCTCGGAGTCAGGCTCCGCTACTGTAAAGCTCAGAGACACTATCCTGTTTGGAGGGCGTTATATAAATTGTTGTTTCTGTATATCAAATGCAAAGATTATTATTATTGTTAGGAAATCTATTGGCTGTAACCCACTGGCAGTGACTTCACTCCCCCCCAACCCCCCTGACCTGTCGGTTGGCACGGCAGCTCGGGCCAGGTTGGCCACTGTGGGGAAGATGTCCATGTTGCTGGTGGGCTGGTGCTTGCTGACGCCCGCGGGCAGCGTTCCTGGCCAGCGGAGGAGCCCCGGCACTCGGATACCACCTTCCCAATTGGTGCTCTTCCCTCCTGAAACACACACGTTCACCAGAGTCAACACAACAAACAGATGCAGTGGTTAGAGCCCTCGCCTCGCAAGCCTGAGGACCCGGGTTTGATTCCCGGGCGGGGAGAAACCTTAGACAAGTTTCCTTACTCCACACACCTCTGTTTACAGCAGTAAATAGGAACCCGGTTGTTAGTCGATTGGGGGAATCACTTTCCGGGGTTAAATAATAACATTAATAATAACTTGGTCGCTCAATCCACAACTTTTCGTGGGACACTTTTTGTGCAATTGGCTGCTACGTTTCGCCCATAAAATATAATGTCACTCCACTTTATAGTATGTTCTGTGAATCACTTTGAGATGTTTCAAAGACGTGATAAGGAGCTATATCAAATGGAAGGATTATTATTATGTTATTCAAGAAGCCACGGAAATGAAGACATCAAATCATTTTACTGTGTGATGTGACACAGAAAATAATAATAATATTAATAATCCTTCCATTTAAACACCCTGCCAAGTAAATCAGTAAAGAGATATAGAGAGAGACTATTTCCTAAGACTTTGTAACTTTCCGTCAAACTGATCCTGGCTTTCACTGGATTGAGTGACCAAATAATATTTTTTGGGGGGACAATCAATTTTATACAGGGTGCTCCAAAAGTCGTGATAACTACCATATTATCTAAAAAATATATAATTTCTTATATAAAGACTTACTAGACATTATCACGACTTTTTGGTCACCGTGTATGAAATTCTATGTATAATACTATATGGAATAAAATACATAAAATCCTTGCATTGTGCTCGACTGTGTTTGACCTACAAATACACAGTTGCGGCAATGACAGCAGTTTCCTGTGAAATGCTTTGAGATGTTTCAATGTTACACACGCTGGAGCAAACACAGGGATTTTTATTGAAATAATGAGTTGCCTTTCACGTAAAATAAACATCCTGAAGAACTTTTTAAATAAAATCCCAACCGGAACAAGATGCTGGGATTCGCCTAAGAGCTCATGTCCAGAGCTCCGAGATGCTACCCCGTGTAAAAGCATGGATCAAGAAATATTCAATCCAAATTTATTTTGTTGGATATAAAGGTTGCCCCACTGACCTAAGTCATCATTGCTGTCAATAACCCTGCCACATTTATTTATGTATTTATATAAATGACACCACTCCTGATAACTAGTCACCAAGCCCTTTTCGCTTGGAGTTGTATGTTATCAGGAGATTACATGGAGTCCTGTAGCTCAGTGGTTAGAGAGGTTGCCTCGCAAGCGAGAGCTCTGGGTTCGATTTGCGGGCAGGGTGAAATATTGGGAAAGTTTCCTTACTCCACACGGCTCTGGTTACCCAGCAGTAAATAAGAACCCAGGTTCCTACTGGTTGTTAGTCGATTGGCAGATTGCTTTCCGGAGGTAGTGTTCCCTCCAAAAAAATTTAAAATAATTTGTTTTCATTGTATGCATTTATGTAAATATTATGTATTTATGTACATAATAATTATTATTATTTTGAGGGTGAACGGAACAGCCAATTTGCGCACAACAACGTCCCACAAAGAGCTATGAAGTGAATGACCGATGTGTATCAGGGTGGGTGGGGGAGATTCTTAAATAATAATAATAATCCTTGCATTTGATATAGCGCCTGATCACATCTCAAATGCTTCACAGAATATAAAGCCCACGAAATGCACAGTAGGGTAAAATCCTGAAGTGCTTTGAGATGTCCTCCCCATGTTATAATTGTCTCAAAGAGCTTTTCAAAAGGATTAGGTGCATGACTGATGTACCCCTGGGGCGATTTAACTTGGAGGGGGGTGGGGGCGGGGATAAGAGAGAAGAGGATTGATGGCCAGAACATAGGGAGAGCCCCCCCCTCCCGATAATGTGACGGGATTGCCCATTTTTTAAATGCCAATTTGCACACAGGAAGGATCCCACAAACAGGCGTAAAGTCAGTGTATGGCTGCTTTTACATGGAGAGCACTGGGAGAATACCTTAAGGCTCTCTCCCTCTCTCTTTCAGAAAACATTAGTTTAATTGTTAACATTGTTAACGTGCGCTGGATATAAGCTGTGTAGCATTTTTGTACCGATAGCTTTTTAAACCAGGTTACAAGTGATCAAACAAGTCAGGCCATTGCTGTGGCTTCTCTGCAGTGTTGCGCCTCAGCAGATTACACTCGGCTCTGTGCAGGAACCAGCCAGGTGTTCACTGACTGATAAGGGCCGCTCTGTGGGTCTGTTAGTAATAATAATAATCCTTGCATTTGATGCAGCGCCATCACATCTTCGAGACGTCTCAAGGCGTTTCTCAGAATATACTGCAAAGTGTAATGACTGTATATTTTGTGGGTGAAACGCGGCAGCCAATTGCGCACGGCAGCGTCCCACAGACAGTCGTGGATTGAGTGACTGCATTTTTTTTGTGGAGGGATAATTATTCCCGGAAAGTGATCCGTCAATCACTAACAACCGGGTTCCTATTTACTGCTACGTAAACAGAGGCGTGTGGAGTAACGAAACGTACCCAACGTTTCGCCCTTCCTGGGAATTGAACCCAGGTCCTGTCACGTGCGAGGTGAGTGCTCTAACCACTGAGCTACAGGACTGCACGCTGAGATATAGGATGCATCACCTGTCCTTTGGATAAACCAAGGTCCTGTCTATACCGGTTCACATGGACGTTAAAGTTCCGGTGACAGATTTCAAAAAATAAGAAGTTTCTCTCTCCCAGTGCACTGCCCAAAAATCACACTGAGCAATATAATAGCAATAATAATAATCCTTGCATTTGATCTAACACCTTATCACGTCATTGACATGTCTCAAAGAACTTCACAGCTGTAAAGTGAATTGTCTGTGTATATTGTGGGTGAAAGATAAAAATTGATCATGGCTCATTGCGGGACATTGCTGTGCACAAATTGGCTACGGCATTCTCCCATGAAATACACAGTAGAGTAAAACGCTGAATGTTTTGAGATGTCCTCTCAATGTTAAAGGAACTGTATAAATGGAAATCGTGTTGTATTGCTCCCAATGTGCTATATTAAATGCGTGGATTATTATTCTAGCACAGAATTTAATAAAAAAGAGACAAGATGATAATGTGCAGGAAGTCTTAGCCATTCTCTCTAGAAACGCTTTCCAAATACCAGTGAAATGTTACGTGTCCACCTGGGGTTAGAATCATTTTGAATGCTGGAGAAATGCCACAATCATGAGAAAATCACATGGAATCCTGTAACTTAGTGGTTAGAGCATTCGCCTCGCAAGCGAGACAACCTGGATTCGATTCCTGAGCAGGGCGAAGCCATAAGGAAGTTTCCTTACGCTATACACCTCTTTTCCAGAGGGACGTCGTCCTGATATGAGAGACGCTATACAAATATAATTTGTTGTTTACTTAGCAGTAAATTGGAATGTGGTTGTTAGTCGATTGCTTTCTGGGGGTAATAATAATAATAATAATTTGGTCACTCAATCCACGACTGTTTGTGGACGCTGCTGTGCGCAATTGGCTGCTGCGTTTCGCCCACAAAATATAGTCAATTCACTTTACAGTATGTTCCGTGAAGCGCTTTGAGACATCTCAATGACATGATAAGACATGAAATACAAAGAGTATTATTAATATAGCGCCTTATCACTTCATTGAGACGCCTCAAAGCACTTCACAAAAGGGCAGAAGATGCAATACCTGCCCTTTCACCTCCTCCCAGACCACTGTCCAGGGCTCCAAACACAGATTTCAAGTGAGACAGCGATTTATATACACTACCACCAATGCAGTTTACTGCATTCGCTGCTCACGATGTGGTCTCCTCTACATTGGGGAGACCAAATACAGATTGGGCGACCGATTTGCCTCCGTTCTGTAAAGTGGATTGACTGTGTACTTGTGAGTATGTACTTGGCAGCCAATTGCGCAAACAGTCCCACAAACAGTCGGGGATTGAGTGACAAATTCTCATTTGGTCTCTTGTGTAGAGAAACTTCCTTGTGCTGTCAATTGCAAACCTGACCCTATGCCTTCTTGTTCTGTCGGCCGTCCGAAAGCATTGTTCTGGGTTTACTTTCTCAATCCCGTTAAGCACCTTATATACCTTGCAAAGGTCTCCCCTGAGGTAGCTTCTTCAAGGCTGAAGAGCTTCAGCTAATCTTGCTGTTTCAAGCAAGATCATCCCTGTAATACAGGGGATCAGCCTTGCTGGTGGGAGTGGAGGCAAGAGGAGCCTCTTTGAGGCTCCAAGATGACACCTCGGGCAATGGACTATCATGGTTCCTTGGTGCAGAATGCGATCAAAGCCAACACGTAAAATTGTGCCTCCTCATAATTAACCTTTGATCAATTACCTTCAGGCAGAGCTGTGTTTACATTCTGGATCTCTCACAACACACAACAGTAAACCAACTATATCCTGTCTGTGGGCGACGATACTAAGAATAACTTGTACAGCATCTTCCAGGTAAAAATAAACATTTTGGCTGCGTTCCACTAAAATCAGATTGATCCAAAATCAAGTGTCAGCTCCTTCACTCAGCAAGTGCCTGCTTCAGGTCCTCTGCTCTACCATCAGCGGGCGAGCTGTCAGCCTGTTCTACCCCTGATCTCTTGAACTCCACGGATTACCCTCTGATTCGCCCTGCACTAGGCTCTGTGACCCTATCACCCCCACCCTCGCCCGACTCCACTGGCTCCCCACCCCCCAGAGGATAGAGTTCAAAACGCAAAATCCTGCAGAAGCTGGAAATCTGAAACAAAATCAGACGTTGCTGGGAGCCCTCAGCAGGTCAGGCAGCGTCTATGGAGAGAGGAAAGTGAGTCAACATTTCGGGTCCACGACCCTTCATCAGAACTGGGGCATGTTGGGAGGGAAAGGCTTTAAGGGTGAACAGAGAGGGGGGAGGCAGAGCAAGGAAGACAAAGAAGAAAATGTGGTAGAAGACAGGGGATGATGGGTTAAAGAGGTGATAATAGGTGTAAAGAGGGGGGGAAATTCCAACAAAACAGGCAGCTGAGGGCCCTTGACCGTGTCCGCCCTATTTCCCGCACCGCTGCCCTCACCCCTTCCCCCTCTTCCCAGAACCATGATAGGGTTCCCCCTAGTCATCACCTTCCATCTCACCAACCTCAACATCCAACAGATAATTCTCCGCCATTTCGGACAACTCCAGCGTGATCCAACCACTAAACGTATCTTTCCCTCCCCTCCCCTCAGCATTCCGAAGGGACCGTTCCATCCGTGACTCCCTGGTTCAATCCTCCATCACCACCCACAGCTGCTCTCCTCCTTTCTCCATAGATGCTACCTGACCTGGTGAGTGTTCCTTGCGACTTCTGTTTTTGTTCCTCCATAATATAGCGTCGTTACACAGGGTCCAGTCTGTGTCAGCAAATTCCCATAGATAATAATAATAATAATAATCCTTGCATTTGACATATTTTGTATATTTTGTGGGCAAAACAAAGCAGCCAATTGCACACAGCAGTGTCCCACAAACAGTTGTGGATTCAGTGACTAAATTATTATTTTTTTGGAGGGTTTATTACCCCCAGAAAAGCGATCCGCCAATCGACTAACAAGCGGGTTCCTACTTACTGCTAGGTAAACAGAGGCGTATGGAGTAGGAAACTTTCCCAACATTTTGCCCTGTCCTGTCCCGCCCGGGAATCGAACTTGGGTCCTCTCGCTTGCGAGGTGAGTGCTCTAACCCCTGAGCTACTTGTGTGTGTGTGAGTGGCTGAATTTCATAGTTTCATGATTAACATATGAGACACCACAAAGAGAGTCTCAGAGAGTTAATGAAATGAATAATCCAGCACAAAGGTAGCGAGAGTGAACAGGGAATATAATTTAATGTAATTTAAAACTGGATGGTGGCGTGGGCGGTGGGGGGGGCGGGGGAGAGGCTTTGCCCTGGGGAGCGATGCCAGGTTTTTGGGAGGGGGAGGAGGCAGAAAGAGAGTGGGCAGTAGTCTGGCTGAGCGATCTAAATTAATTTTGCATGAAGGTACCATAGGAACCCGGGGAGACAGGAGGATGGAGAGGAGAGGAGGAGTGCAGCACATTTTGAGCCAAGGCCTCTGGGGAAGGAACCAGACATAATTAAGCTGTAGTCTCAGAGATTTTTTTTCTCTTCTCCCCCCCACCCGCCGCCTACACACACACACACACACATGCACCCACACACACAAAATGCTGCTTGTGCTAATTAGCGCAACTTTTAGCTGCAATGTATTCAAATGAGGCATGTCAAATTGCAACCTTGCTTTTAAGCGCACATTAATCCTAAAGACCGGGATCAGTGCCTATATTTCAAGTAGGCTTGTCTCGTTCGAAGCACTTTACACTCGAAATTAATGAACATCCTTCAAAACCGAAGAACAGAAGATTTTTTTTATGATCCCGAGTTAGTGGAGTGTTGCACATCACTCGCCTCCTGTATACAATAAAATTCCAAAAGAACATCTAACCACTGGCTGCATATTAGATACGGAGGCGTCTTTCATCTGGTGCTTAATAGCTGCATTGCCAACCCATTGGTGATAATAATAACAATAATCCTTGCAATTGATAAAGCGCCTCATCATGTCTTCGAGACGTCTCAAAGCGCTTCACAGGATACTCTGTAAAGTGAATTGACTGCATTGTGTGGGCGAAACGCAGCAGCCAGTTTCACACAGCAGCGTCCCACAAACAGTCATGGTTTTGAAGTGACCAATTATTATTATTTTAAAAATAAAATCNTTTTTTGAAGGGATTATTACACCAGGAAAAGCGATCCTCCAATCGACTAACAAACGGGTTCCTACTTATTGGTAGGTAAACAGAGGCGTGTGAAGTAAGGAAACTTGCCTAACGTTTTGCTCTGCCTGGGAATCCTGTAGTGGAGTCCTGTAGCTCAGTGGTTAGAGCACTCGCTTTGCAAGTGAGAGACCTGAGTTCAATTCCAGGCAGAGGGCCAAACCTTTGGCAAGTTTCCTTACTCCACACAGAGCCTAATAATAATCCTCCAAAACCAAAAACAATAATAAATTGGTCATTTTCAATCTACGACTGTTTGTGGGACATTGCTGTGCGCAATTGGCTGCCGCGTTCGCCCACAAATATACAGTCAATTCACTTTACAGTGTGTTCTGTGAAGCGCTTTGGGACGTCCTCCCGACGTGAAAAGCGCTATATCAAATGCAAGGATTATTATTATTATTATCGTTTGTGAGGCGAGTGCTCTAACCACTACACTATGGAACTCCACAATGGATGAGAGTTCGCAGTGATCCTCTAAAGCACTACTCTGCAGTTGCCGATGGACAATGCTTTAAGTACATGGAAAGTACTTGCCTTTGTAGATGCCGCTCCACCCACGATGGACCTCGTTGTCATCAGAGAACTCCTCCAGATGAGGACCCTGATCAGACGTGAAGTAAACCAGCGTCTTGTTGCTAACTTGAAGCCTTTCCAGCACCATCAGAATCTGCCCTGAAATTTTAAGGAAGAACCTACATTGGAATTAACTATATTTTCCCTTCAAGGCAAACATAGAAGAAACAGAACAAAAGTAGACTTGAAGAATGAGCAAGCTGAGCTTTACAGTTTCCTATTGACCTGAGACAGAGAGATGAGCTACAGGGAACATAAAATATACTGAGCATGTGCGAGAGCGCCACCTAAAACTACTGCTGTACTAATAACATAACATAACATGTAGGAGCAGGAGTTGGCCATTCGACCCTTCGAGCCTCTGCCCCGCCATTCAATCATGGCTGACCTTCTAATCTAACTCCAGCTAATAACCTGACGCTGCCTTATTCCCATATCTCTTAATAATCCTTGTATTTGATACAGCGCCTATCACATCACTTAGACGTCTCAAAGCGCTTCACAGAATATTCTGTAGAGTGTATTGACTGTATATTTGAGGGCGAAACGTGGCAACCAAATGCGTACATTCATTCGTGGACTGAGTGACCAAATTATTATTATTATTTTTTTTAAAAGGATTATTACTCATGGAAAGCAATCGACTGACAACCGGGTTCCTACTTTTTGCTGGGTAAATATGTGTGTGGAGTAAGGAAACTTGCCTAAGGTTTCGCCCTGCTCGAAATTAAAGAAGTGTCCTCTCGCTTGTGAGGTCAGTGCTCTAACCACTGTGCTGCAGGGCTCCATAGTACAGAATAGTGTGCTCCTCACACACACTTATGCAGGGGACCAATGCTGGTCTGCGAGCGATGGATAACGGCACAGCTTGTGTGTGTGACCGGCTGAGACAGCACCAAGAACAAAGAAGAATTAAAAGATTTGAGTTGGGCGTTTTCAAGTCAAAGCATCTCAAAACCGTTTTGCAGTTATTATCAAGTGATGTTTTAATAAATAATAATCATTGGAATAATAATCATATTAGCAACTTATCACAACTGGGAGACCCTTATACACGCATTCATAACATCCAAGCTCGACCATGCAAACTCCCTGCTTGTCGGCCTCCCCAACTCCTCCCTCCACAGGCTTCGTGACCCTATCACCCCCATCCTCGCCCGACTCCACTGGCTTCCCATCACACAGAGGATACAATTACAGATCCTGGTCCTCACCTTCAAAGCCCTCCATGGTCTTGCTCCCTCCGACCTCTGCCACCTCCTAAAACCCTACCAACCTGCCTGCTCCCTCCGCTCAGCGGGCTCCAGCCTGCTTCATGGCCCCCGCCTCACTCACCCCACCATTGGCAGGCGGGCCATCTGCTACTCTGCCCCCACCCTCTGGAACTCAATCCAGCAGTCTTAACATCTGTCTCAAGACCTTCCTCTTTGACCGTGCTTTCGGTCACCCTCCTTCCCCCTGCGCCCTCCATCCCCCTACCAATCCCCAGTTTGGGTACAAAACACTGATCGTCCAGTGCCTTGGGACGTCCTCCCAACATGAAAGGTGCTGGACAAATGTCATTTTGTTGTTTTCACTGGAGCTCTATATTCCCATTCCTGCTCTTTCCCCATCATGTTTGTGCTGACGCTCACTCTCACACTCCCCACTAGAGCTCTCTAATCTTATTCCTTGCTTTTTCCTCAAATCTTTTAACAGTATTTTTCTTTTAAGGATTAATTTTGTTCTCTTTTAATGAGACGGGTCAATTTGCTGAACCTCAGACTTGCTAGATCTATACAGCTCTTATCTCAAATCCTTTGTAAATGTTGTTACAAACTTCATTTTCAAGAGCCATGTGTGATAAACCATTCCTCAGTCTAACTGCACTCTGTATAACTCTTTTTTCTGGTGATAATCCTCCATTGATGACTTCTGGCTATCAGTTGAAACTCTTTCCAAAGCTTTTTGCACAAGACCCAGATCACAACTGAGCGACAAGGTCAGATGTAAGTAGAAACATAGAAACAGAAGGAGGACGTTCAGCCCCTTGAGCCTGTTCCCCCATTCTATAAGATCACGGCTGATCTGTACCTCCACTCCAATTACCCGCCTTTGCCCCATATCCCCTGATCCCCTGACCTGACAAACATCTCTCCCCCTCAGTCTGGACAATGTGAATGGATCCACACAGAATCCACAGTCTTTTGGGGGAGAGAGTTCCAGATCCCCACCGGCCTTTGGGTGAAAACCTGCCCCTGATTTCACTCCTAAATGGCGCGGCTCTAATTTTAAGATGATCCCCGTGTTCTGGATTCCCCACCAGAGGAAACAGTTTCTCTGTAGCTGCTCTATCCAATCTCTTTATTATTTTAAACACATCAATCAGATCAGCCTCAACCTTCTCAACTCAAGGGAATACAGACCAAATTGATGCAACTTGTCCTCGTAATTTAACCCTTTTAGCCGTGGTATCGTTTTGGTATCATCTGCATTGCACCCCCTCCAGAGCCAATATATCCTTCCTGAACTGAACAGAGTCTCAAGATGGGGTCTGACCAAGTAGTAAATGTTTGTACATCCATTTGTTTAAAGATTTTTTTCCCTGGTCAGTCAGATAATTTGCAATGTGCAGAAACCCATCGCTGTACCTAAGTGTCCCAAACTAGACCAGAGAGTTCCATGTTTAGGACAGGCTACAGAGTCTATGTTCTACAAGTAGGTTGTTAACCACTCTGCCCATTAGGTTAACAGGATTCGGGTGGGAAGGATCCCTGCTCCCAATGTAACGAGTCCTTCAGCCTAACACGTGTGTCAGCCTGGCTCAGTGGTAGTGCTCTCGCCTCCGAGTCAGAAGTTGTGGGTTCAAGCCCCACATTGGGACTTAGTCTCACATAGTCCAGGTTGACACTGCAATGTAATGCTGGGGGAGAGCTACATTGTGGAGGTGGTGTCTTTTGGATGAGACGTTAAGCTGAGGTCCCGTCTGCCCATTCACAGCCGTGTCCTACAAACAGTCGTGGATTGAGTGACCAAATTATTATTATTATTTTTCTTTTCTTTTTTTGAAAGTATTATTATCCTGTGTAAATAATCCGCCAATCGACTAGCATGCAGGTTCCTTCTCACTGCTGGTAAACAGAGGTGTGTGGAGTAAGGAAACGTGCCTCACGTTTCATCCTGCCCGGGAATAAGAACATAAGAACATAAGAATTAGGGGCAGGAGTCGGCCATTCGGCCCCTCGAGCCTGTGCCCCGCCATTCGATAAGATCATGGCTGATCTTCTGACCTAACTTTAATTACCCGCCCTCTCCCCATATCCCCTAATCCCTCTATTTGTTAAAAATCTCTCAGTCTCAGCCTTGAAGATGTTCGAGGACTGACATCTACAGCCCTTCTGGGGGAGTGAATTCCATAAATTCACTGCCCTCTGAGTGAAGAAATGTTTCCTCAACTCTGTTCTAAAAGGCTGACCCTTAATTTTCAGACTGTGACCCCTGGTTATAGATTCTCCCACCGGGGAAACAGACCCTCAGTGTCTACTTTATCAGCCCTTTAAGAATCTTATATATTTCAATAAGATCTCCCCCTAATTCTTCTGTACTATAGAGAATACAGCCCCAGTTTATTCAGCCTCTCCTCACAGGTCAGTCCCCTCATCCCAGGCACTAACCGAGTGAATCTGCGCTGCACCCCCTCGAGGGCAAGTATGTCCTTTTTTAAATAAGGAAACCACAACTCTACACAATCCTCTCGGTGCGGTCTCACCAAAGCCCTATACGGCTGCCGCAAGACTTCCCTACTCTGGTACTCTAAACCTTTTGCAATGAACGCTAACTGCCGTTCGCCTTAGTTGCTGCTGCATCTGCAAACTAACTTTTTGAGACTGGTGTACAAGGACACCCAAATCCCTCTGAACACTAACACTATCTAATCTCTCCCCCTCTAGAAAATAATCTTCACACTTCCTCACATTAAATTTCATCTGCCACCTACTCGCCCACTCCCCGAGCCTATCTATATCCCGTTGCAATCTTTTCGCATCATCCTCAGAGCTCACTCTCCCACCGAGTTTAATGTCATCACGAATTTACATTCAATGTCCTCGTCCAGATCATTGATGTAAATTGTAAATAGCTGAGGCCCAAACACTGATCCTTGTGGCACTCCACTAGTCATCTCCTGCCAATTCGAGAATGACCCGTTTATCCCTACTCTCGGTTTTCTACCCGTTGGCCACTCTTCAATCCATGTTAATATGTTCCCATTAATACCACGGGCCTTAACCTTGTGCAATAGCCTTTGGTCAAATGCCTTTTTAAAATCTAAATATCTACATCTACTGGTTCCCCCCTCTCTAACCTGCAGATACATCCTCAAAAACCTCTAAAAGATTGGTTAAGCATCACTTCCCATTGTAAAGCCATGTTGACTCTCCCTAATCTTGTTATGGTCTTCCAGGAATCCCATAACGACATCCTTAATTAAGGACTCAAGAATTTTCCCTCCCACTGAAGTCAGACTAACTGGTCTATAGTTTCCCATCTTTTCTCTCCCACCCTCTTAAATAGTGGTGTCACGTTTGCAATCTTCCAATCAATGGGAACGATTCCAGAATCCAGAGAATTTTGGAAGATCAAAGACAAGCCATCCACTACCTCAGTCGCCACCTCTTTTAAAACCCGAGGATGTAGGCCATCAGGTCCAGGGGATTTATCAGTTTTAAGACCTGATAATTTACCTAAAACCATTTCTTTACTAAAACCATTTCAATATTAATTCCTCCAAGTTGCTCGCTAACATTGTCTTCTTGGTTCCCCTCTATTCTTGGTAGGTTAAAACTTGGTAGGTTAAAATCAAACCCAGGTCCTCTTGCGTGTGAGGCGAGCGCTCTAACCACTGAGCTACAGGATTCCACAAGCAGGTTGTTAAACACAGAATTGTCTTGTGGTGTAGCAGGCTTGATGGGCCTAATGACCTCCCCCAGTTCCTAATTTCTCATGACCAGCAGCCAACGCCAATCCAAAGCAATAAATCACCATTGTGCATAGATCCAGGCTGAACAAGACCGCCAACACTCCATTTGTACACTGAGCTCTTACGTTCAATATCTTTCTGCGTGTGAGCAATTCTGACGAGAAGGGCTTTAAAATCTAGTTAATTCTTATTGAATTTGCCCCATATGTTTCTGTACTTCAGATTTAATTAGACTCCTTTTGCAACCCATTTATTTGGGACACAAGACATCTGCAATAAAAAGTTCCTGGGTACAGCATTGGTCACTCTTAATTTCATCCACTTTTTTCTGTCATCTTTCATTTCAGCCCCAGCTCAGTTGGTTGCTCTATCGCCTCCGGGCACAGAAGGTTACGTGGAATCCTGTAGCGTATTGGTCGGAGAGAGAGAGAAACAGAAAAAGTTGGACCACTGACTGATCAATTTCCACTCTATCTATCTGGGCTGGATGTAAACTGTGCTCCCTGGGGGGATGTACAAGGGTTTTAATGATGGCTACATCACCCGCTCCAGACCATTTGCCTCAGTTTCCTGGCTCTTGAAGATAAATGTTCATGGATATGCAGGTTTGTGGGGGGAGGGGGAGTTGGGGGCAGAGAAGGCAATTTATTGAGCACTTTATTTAATTTTACGCATGTGATTCCCCCCACACCACACACGCACAGCACGAGAAAGAGAGGGCTTGCATTTTTTGTAGAGTTTCAACATTCTCAAAGCACTTCACGGTAATGATTATGAAACAGATTTTGAACTCACAAGTTTAGTATGATACTGAAATGCTGTGCTGAAGGGGGAAGCGCTGCCTCGTCAGGGGAGAGAGACAGAGAGAGGAAAAGAAATGACAGTGGATGAAACGGAAAGAGAGGATGGGTGAGAGAAAGAAGAGACAGGTGTGTGAGAGAAAGAGAGGGGGGAGAGAGAAGCGGAGAGGGAGGGAGAGAGAGAGGCGGAGGGGAGGGAGGGAGAGAGAAGTGGAGAGAGGAAGGGAGGGAGAGAGAGAGAGAGGGAGGGAGAGAGAAGCGGAGAGAGAGAAGCGGAGAGGAGGGATGGAGGAAGAAAGAAGCGGAGAGGAGGGAGGGAGAGAGGGAGGGAGAGAGAGAGAAGCGGAGAGAGAGAAGTGGAGAGGAGGGAGGGAAAGAGAAGCGGAGAGGGAGAGAAGAAAAAAAAGTATTGCCTGGAATTAACACGTCCCTGCATCCAAGGCAGAGAGCGCGAGCATTCCCCTCCAGACGCTGTGCAAATAGTTAATAATAATAATCCTTGCATTTGATACAGCGCCGGATCACGTCTTCGAGACGTCTCAAAGTGCTTCACAGATTATTCCGTAAAGTGTAGTGAAACGTGGCAGCCAATTGCGCACAGCAGCATCCCACAAACAGTTGTGGATTGAGTGACCAAATTACTAATTTTTTGCAGGGAGGGATGATTACCCCTGGAAAGTGATCTGCCCATTGACTAACAACCGGATTCTTACTTACTGGGGAACACAGATGTGTGGAGTAAAGAAACTTTCGCTCTGCATGGGAATCAAACCCAGGTCCTCTCGTTTGCAAGGCAAGTGCTCTACCCACTGAGCTACAGGATTCCATCACTACTCTACGGGAGTTTGAAGCAGGTGATGGGTTTCCACCAGCTGATCAAAACCAAAAATCACAGCATCACTCCTGCCTCACCAGAAAGACAGACACGACACCCACCGCAGACGTGTTTTGCTGACACCGACACATACGTACCGACACTCCAGTCCATCTCCTCGACGTTGTCTCCGTATAAGCCATGGTTGCTTTTCCCTCGGAATTCCTCTGAAGAATACAGCGCTGTGTGAACTTGTAGGAAAGACAGGAAGAGCAGGAATGGCTGGTCTACGTTTCTGTGGGTGATACACAAAAAAAATCCTTGTGTTTGGTCTAGCTCCTTTCACGTCAGGAGGTCGTCCCAAAGCGCTTCACAGGATATATTGTAAAGTAATTTAATAATAATAATAATAATACCCCTGGAAAACGTTCCGGTAATTGACTAACAACTGGGTTCCTACTTGCTGCTAGGTAAACAGAAGCATGTGGAGTAAGGAAACTTGTCTAAGGTTTAGCCCTGCTCGGGAATGAAACCCACATCCTCTCGCTTGCGAGGCGAGTGCGCTAGCCACTATGCTGCAGGACTCCAAGTCCTCCACTACACCATTGGCCCCCAATTATGTCAGCTACATTCCTGATGTGCAATTGGGATTTTTGGGGGTTAAAAAGTGACATTTAGAATGAGTTTTTCCCTTCAAGGCAAACATAGAAGAACTAGAACAAAAGTAGACTTGAAGAAGCAAGCTGAGCTTTACAGTTTCCTGTTGGCCTGAGGCAGAGAGATGAGCTACAGGGAACATAAAATATACTGAGCATGTGCGAGAGCGCCACCTAATACTACTGCTGTATTAATAATCATTGTATTATCCTTATCACATCACTCAGACATCTCAAAGCTTCACAGAATATACTGTAAAGCGAATGGACAGTATATTTGTGGGCGAAATGCAGCAGCCAATTGCGCACAGCAGCGTCCCACAAACAGTCGTGGATTGAGTGACCAAATTCTATATTTTTTGAAGGAATTATTACCCCCGCGAAGCAATCTGCCAATCAACTAGCAGCCGGGTTACTATTGACTACTGTGTAAAGAGAGGCGTGTGGAGTAAGGAAACTTGCCCAAGGCTTCGCCCTTGCGAGGCGAGTGTTTTAACTATTACATTACAGGACACCTAGCGGCAATTGACCAGTTAGAGACCCCGGGTTTAGATGATATTTGAAGTCCCAACGTGTGATTAAACGCTACCCGGTGTGGGGGGCGCTATACAAATGGAAACTGTTGTTGTTGGAATCGAGGCGATGATCCTCAGAGCCAGCTGTCTAAATCATTTACAGTTATACAGCAGCTTCATGTTGGGAGGACAACAACAACAAAATTACATTTGTATAGCGCCTTTCACATCCTCAGGCTGTTACTCGACACTCCTCAGCTCATCAAAAGTGCTGTCAAAGATGACCCCAGAAAGAGTTGGAGGAGGTTTGAGGTCTTATCTGAAGAACGTCAACCCCAACAATACAGCAAACTATTGGAGCCTCAGCCTTGACGATATCTCCAAATCCACCACGGGATTGGAGGCCACAAACTTCTGATATAGATGTGAGACCGATTGAGCTGTTAGCCAGGACACTGGGAGAAACTCTTTTCTTTTCCAATGGTTCGACCACAAAATATACAGTTACTACACTTAACAATATATCCTGTGAAGCACTTTGAGATGTCTCGAAGACTTGATAAGGCGCTGTATCAAGTGCAAGGATTGTTATTAGTGCTACCTCTATCATCCACCTTAAATAGGCAGATAGGACCTTGGTTATAAACGTCTCATCTGAAGGGCGGCACCTTTAGCAATGCAGAACTCCCCCAGTACAGCAATGGAGCGTCAGCCTAGATTACCTGACGTATGCTTTGAACCTGAAACCTTCCAACTCAGAGGAGAGACCACTAACAAATGAGCCAAGCTGACACTTGGAAGTATTATTCTGTGTTGACTTTCTCAATCCCGTTTACAATTTGTATACCTCTACAAAGTCCCCTCTGAGACACTGGTTTGGAAGGACCACAGTTTATCTAATTATGTGCTGATACCATTAGTTGCCTGGCTTCAGGAGAGCAGAGGCGAGGAGACATGCAAGTGAATGCAAAAAACTGCAAGTGAATGTCAATAAATCATTGTTTCATGGCCTCAGAGAGGTTACACGGTCCATGCAGGGAAAGTGAATTAGCAGTGTCAGCCCAAATCACTGAAGTATCTGCTGCTTTATAATGAGTCCGTCTGCTGTGGCTAATGCAGTTTCCTCGCATTGCTGGCCACGATAACTCCTTCAAACAGTCTCTCAGTCTTAACCATCACCCCACCTACCCCCACTCACTCAGCCTTAAAGGGAAATCAAGTAAGGTAGAGTCTCAGGCAAAATCCATTATGTCCTGTAGCTTAATGGTTAGCAGATTCATCTCGTAAGTGAGAGGACCCGGGCAGGGTGAAGGCTTAAGCAAGTTTCCTTACTCCACACACCTCTGTTTACCAGTGAGTAGGAGCCCGGCTGTTTCTGGGGGTAATAATAGCTCCAATTATCCAATGAAGCAGGGCGAAACCTTGGGCAAGTTTCCTTACTCCACACAGAGCCTAATAATAATCCCTCCAAAACCAAACAATAATAAATTAGTCATTTTCAATCCACGACTGTTTGTGGGACATTGCTGTGCGCAATTGGCTGCCGCGTTCACCCACAAATATACAGTCAATTCACTTTACAGTGTGTTCTGTGAAGCGCTTTGGGACGTCCTCCCGACGTGGAAAGCGCTATATCAAATGCAAGGATTATTATTATTATAAGTATTTTGAGAGATCTCAACGATGTGATAAGGCGCTATAAGGTGTGGAGTCCTGTAGTCAGTAGTTAGATCATTTGCCTCGCAAGTGAGAGACCTGTGTTCGATTCCCGACACGGCGAAACGTTGGGCAAGTTTCCTTACCCCACACGCCTCTGTTTATCTAGCAGTAAAAAGGAACCTGGTTGTTAGTCGATTGGCCAATTATTTTCCCAGGGGTAATAATTCCTTCAAAAAAAAATTGGTCACTTCAATCCACGACTATTTGTGGGGACGCTGCTGTCCACAATTGGCTGCTGCGCTTCGCCCATAAAATATATAGTCAATTCACTTTACAGTGTATCCTGTGAAGCGCTTTGAGACATCTCAAAGATGTGATAAGGTGCTGTATCAAATGCAAGGATTATTATTATTATTACCTTGATATAAAACCCACGGCTTCGTCAGTCATCCTTTGAGTCAGGTTCTGGTATGAAAACGGCTGCTGGATGATGTTCCTGTCTCTCATGAGGATGCAGTTGAGGAGACGGAAGTTGACCAGAAAGAGTAACCCAAGCCCAAGGAGCAAGGCGGAGGCCAGGCTGGTGTAAGCCAGAGCCCTCCAGTGTACAGCCAGCAACTCCATGTAGACGAGCAGCAGCAGAGTGACCAGGAGAGCGACGAGGACACGGGATCCAATCTTCAATTGGCTCTGCAACCCCCTAACAAACACGCTGCCATGCCCCGGTTTGCAGTCTCGCAAGTTGGTCAACGGGAAGCCGTAAAAGTAGTTGAAGCCGTGTCGCTGAGGGTGGTGGCAGTGATCGTCGCTCGTTTCACAGTTTAAACCGAGATGCCACTTGCCTTGGGGGAGGGAGAAACAAGTTTAGATTTAGTGTTATTATTTACAGTTCAGTAAACTTGACTCAAGTAATATTGTGGAGTCCTGTAGCTCAGTGGTTAGAGCACTCGCCTCGCAAGCGAGAGGACCTGGGTTTGATTCCCGGGCAGAGAGAAACGTTGGGCAAGTTTCCTTACTCCACATGCTTCTGTTTACCAGCAGTGAGTAGGAACCCGGTTGTTAGTCAATTGGTGGATTACTTTTCCGAGGATAATAATCCCTTCAAAATGAATAAATAATAATAATTTGGTAACTCAGTCCAGGACTGTTTGTGGGACACTGCTGTGCACAATTGGCTGCCTCAAAGCGTGTTACAGGCAATTGCAATTAAGGGTTAATAATAATAATCCATGCATTTGATACAGAGCCTTATCATGGCTGGGGGTTTGGGTCAGGAGGGGTGGAGGGCAGGAAGGGGTAGGAGGGGGATCGAAGAGGAGGGTTTTGAGACACTCCTTGAGGGAGGCAAAGGAAGGAGCGAGGCGAAGGCAATATGGGATGGAATTGCAAAGGGTGGGGCAGAGAGGCTACAGGCCCGACTGCCAACGGTGGGGTGGGCCGGGCTGGGGGGAAGAGCAGGCCACTGAGTGGTGGGAGTGGACAGGCCTGTAGTTATAAAACTCTCCCAGTAAAGGGCAGAGTGAACACCCTAACGTGTTTAACAATTACAATGGAACGGCTGGAACTGTCAGTCTGTCTCTTTGGGATCACTGTTGAACACCTCGATTACTGTTTTACTAGAGCTCCGAGGTATTCATTACTCCAATGGCCCAGATGCCCATTGTTGTGCATTTAAACGGTCTGACCCCCTTGTTAGATTCCAGCCTTGTAATCAGCTTTCTGATTCCACACATAAACCACCTCAAGTTCTTGCAAGATCACAGCCTCATAATTGACCAATATAGATTCAAACATTGGATTAGAAACCTGCAGGGTTTTTTCTGGTCGATTACTTTCCCGAAACACAGAAAAATTTCAATGCAGTTCTTACAAGTGCCGCGGGAAGGAGGGGCAGGAATACGTGAGTTGGAGAGCCCAAAATAATAACCTATTACATTGTTGACATATCCTAAAGCTCTTCACAGAATATACTGTAAAGTGAATTGACTATATTTTTTCAGGCGAAAAGTGGTAGCTAATAGCGCACAACAGTGTTCCACAAACAGTTGGTGATGGATTGACCAAATTCTTCTTATTTTTTTGAGGGGATTATTACCCCGGGGAAGCGATCCACCAATCGGATTACTCTGCGGAAAAGGTGCACTTCTTACCCCTAAAATGTCTCTGGTCCTACCACTTGATTAACAACAACAACATCAACAAGATTACATTTGTATAGCGCCTTTCACGTTGGGAGGATGTCCCAAGGCACTGACAGTGTCAACATTTCAGACCTGAGCTGAGGTCGGGGGGGAAGGGGGGTGGCCGATGGTATGGTCGAAGCGAGGATCTTGAGGCGGGACTTGAAGGAGGCTAAAGAGGGGGTGAGGCGGAGTGACTGGGGGATGGAATTCCAGAGGTTGGGGGCAGAGTGGCTGAAGGCTCTCCCTCCAATGGTGGGGCGGGGGGGTGTCGGGGGATGGGGAGCAGCCAGAGCCGGCTGAGCGGAGGGAGCGGGCGGGTTGGTAGGGGGTTAGGAGGTCGCAGAGGTAGGGTGGGGCGAAGCCGTGGAGGGCTTTGTAGGTGAGGACCTTTGTAGGTGGATCCTCTGAAGGATAGAGAGCCAATGGAGTCGGGCGAGAGTGGAGTGGGAGAGGTGGGGTTTGGTGCGGGAGAGGACACAGATCTAGTGTTCTGGATTACCTGCAGCTGTGGAGGGAGGAGTTGGGAAGGCCGACACGCAGAGCGTTTGCATAGTCGAGCCTGGAGGTGATGAAGGCATGAACAAGAGTTTCAGCGCCTGAGGGGTGAGGTAGTGGCGGAGTCGGGCCATGTTACGGAGGTGAGGGAAGGCAGAGCGGGTCATGGCTTGGATGTGGGGAAGAAAAGACAGTTGAAGGTCGAACAAGACACCGAGGTTCCTGACTGACTGGTGAGTTGAAGTGTGTAACCATGGAGGGCGATGCTGCCAGAGCCTGAGGTGCGGAGGCGCTGGTGTGAGCCAATCAGGAGGACCTCAGTCTTGTTCACATTCAACTGTAGGAAATTTGTCCTCATCCAGGACTTGATGTCCGACAGACAGTCTGTCAGGACAGCAGTGGGTCTGGAGTTGAGGGTGGGGGCAGACAGACAGTCTGTCAGGACAGCAGTGGGTCCTGGAGTTGAGGGTGGAGGCAGACAGACAGTCTGTCAGGACAGCAGTGGTCCTGGAGTTGAAGGTGGGGGCAGACAGACAGTCTGTCAGGACAGCAGTGGTCCTGGAGTTGAAGGTGGGGGCAGAAAGATAGAGTTGGGTGTCATCCGCATACATGTGGAAGTTGACCCCATGTCTGGAGATGATGTCACCAAGATTAAGTACATCTTACCGATGAGAGCCGTAGCGTAGCCTTGCTCCTGCAGGAGTCTCGCAAAAGTTGTCTCGTTGGCAGGAATTCCTCCAGAACTAGCTGCAAATAAAAAGATTCCCACTTTTCCGAAGGACGCCATTCCTGAGAAGGAAATATATTTCAGTCACTGGTGTTCAGAAAGGCCAGCAAGATTTATTATTGCCCAGCCGGGTGTCTGACACAAGCGTAAACCCACCTACACATGGAAATCCCAGAGATAGATTGTTGGAATGAAATGTGCGCTCTCTCCCTGGAGGGACGTATCCTGTTTACCTAATTCTGAAGAGTATTAGCCCAGTTTGGCAAGAACCAAGACTTTGTGACCCCAGATTGCGCGTTTGGGTAACTGCTGGAGTATAACCAACCTGGCTGTGCTATCATCAACAGGGCCCTGGAGAACTGGGGACCCGACTGGACTAGAGACTGTCAAAGCGGGCTGGCTCGATTCCCACATTCCGTTGCCATTAAACATTTGAACCCCTTCAGTCGGGTTTCCGTGCTGCCCATAGCACAGAAACTGCCCTGGTCAATGTCACCAATGACATCCTGACCATCTGTGACCAGGGCTCCCTCTGCCTCCTCGTCCTCCTCGACCTATCAGCAGCATTCGATACGGCCGACCACACTATCCTCCTCCACCGCTTGTCCTCCCACCTCAACCTTCAAGGCCCTGTCCTTGAGTGGTTTAGGTCGTACCTCTCCCACCGTCTTCACTTTGTCTCCACAAACGGCTTTCCCTCCACCCCCCGCACTGTCTCGTGTGGTGTCCCTCAGGGCTCTGTCCTCGGTCCCCTCCTCTTCACCCTCTATATGCTCCCCCTGTGGTGACATCATCCGCAGACATGGGGTTCACTCCCACATGTATGCGGATGACACCCAACTCTACCTTTCCTCCTCTACCCTCAACTCCACGACCCCCGATGTCCTGACAGCTGTCTGTCCGACATCGAGTCCTGGACGAGAGATAACTTTCTTCAGCTCAACGTGCGCAAAACTGAGGCCCTCCTGATTGGCTCACGTCAGCGCCTCCGCACCTCAGGCGCTGACACCATCAGCTCCAAGGCCGCACTCTCCACCTCTCAAAGCCATCAGGAACCTCGGGGTTCTGTTCGACCCTGAGCTGTCCTTTCTCCCTCATATCCGCACCACAACTGGCACCGCCTTCCATCACCTCCGGAATGTCGCCAGACTACGGCACTACCTCACCCCTCACGCGGCTGAAACTCTGGTCCACACCTTCATCACCTCAAGGCCGGACTATGGGAACTCTCTCCTCGTCGGCCTTCCCGGCCTTCCCTCCACACTGCAGGTCATTCAGAACTCTGCAGCTCGTGCACTGTCCCGCACCAGGACCACATCACTCCCACCCTCGCCCTCGCCCTCACCCTCGCCCTCGCCCTCACTGGCTCCGCATCCCCCAGAGGATCGATTTCAAGATCCTCATCCTCACCTACAAGGCCATTCCCGGCCTCACTCCCTCCTACCTCTCTGACCTACTATCCCCCTACCTACCTGCCCGTACCCTCCGTTCCTCTGGCTCCGGTCTGCTCCACATCCCCCGCCCCAACTGCCCGACCATTGGTGGCCTTCAGCCTCTCAGCCCCGAGGCTCTGGAACTCCATCCCCAGTGCCTTCGCCGCTTCCTCCCTTTCCTCCTTCAGGGCCGGTCTCAAGACCTTTCTCTTTGACTGTACCTTCAGCTCCCCTCTCGACTCTCTACCCCCTCCTCGCTCCCTCCCTTCCCTCCCCTCACCCTGACCATTTCCCCCCTCCTCGCTCCCTCCCTTCCCTCCCCTCACCCTGACCATTTCCCCCAATGCTCGGGTCCTGACCTAACTGTACAGCGCCTTGGGACGTCCTCCCGACGTGAAAGGCGCTCAATAAATGGAATCTTGTTGTTGTTGTTGCCAAACACATCCCTGGGGACCAAGGCACTGTTAAGTGTGGGAGTAATGGAGGCTAGGGGAGCGGTGATATGAATTAGAACATGATTAATACGAGTAGTGCAAAAACATCTAAGAGGTTTTGATAGGAAACTGAATGGGAGTCGGGTGCATTCATGACTCAGGCGATTAAATGACTTACAAAGGTAAGGCTTATGAGAGTTTTACTGTATATCAAGTTGCAAGAAACCAAAGGCCCAAACTTTCACCAAGCCTTGACCTCTTACTCCATATTTCAGAAAATATAAGATTATGTAGAATACAATTAACATTGACATAGTTCTTTCACTGTGGAAGGACTGCTCTGGACGGGTACCTTGGAGGGTGGGAGATGCGGGGCTGGTGGTGGATATGTGTACTGAATTACGACTGAATTTCAGAATTTTCTACAATTTTAAAGACCAGGTATTTCGGGGCTCAGATGGTGAAATTATTCACCACAGAGCAGTCAATGATTTTGATAACTGTTTGTGGGGCAATGATGTGCACAAATAATAATAATCCTTCCATTTAATATTAGCACCTTATTATGTCTTCGAGACATCTCAAAGCGCTTCACAGGATACACTGTAAAGTGAATTATAATAATAATATGACTGTATGTCTTGTGGGTGACACGCGGCAGCCAATTGAGCACAGCAGCGTCCCACAAACAGTCGTGGGTTGAGTGACCAAATTATTTTTAAAAAATATTTTGGGGTGGGAAGGAATTATTACTCGGAAAAGCAATCTGCCAATCGCCGAACAACCAGTTCCTACTTACTGTTGGGCGTGTGGAGTAAGGAAACTTGCCTAAGGTTTCAGCCTGCCTGGGAATCAAACCCAGGTCCTCTTACTTGTGAGGCGAGCACTCTAACTGTTAAGCTACAGGACTCCACTCCAAATCTGCTGCCGCGTTCAGCTACAAAACATGCAGACATTACACTTTACAATAAATCCTGTGATGTGCTTTGAGATGTCTCAAAGACGTGATACGTCGCTGTACCAGATGCGAGGATTATTATTATTATTATAAAATTAGTCACTCGTTTCATGGCTGTTTGTGGGTCATTGCTGTACGCAATTGTGCTGATGCATTTGTCTACAAATACACAGTCGCTCTATTTTAGAGACTTTCTTGTATTGTGTTAAGAATTATTATTACTGAATGCAAGGGTTTTTTTTAAAAGAAAAAAATTACCACGCAGTCTCTCTCTCTCTCTCGCACACACACACACACACAGACAGACAGACGCCCAGCAGCTAACTGCAGGGTGCACACCATTTGCTGAAGGCAATGCAGCAACTCAGCAATTGTGTTTGCATCTCCGAGAGCAGTGTCACCATGGGAACCACCACCTAAGTGACAACATAAATCGCTGCTCCTTCAAAATTCTAGAAGCCCCCAAAAGGCTGTGGATTATGGCTGAATCCAGTTTCATTGCCCAGACTGAGGGGGAGAGATGTTTTGTTAGGTCAGGGGATCAAGGGATATATAGAGCAAGAGCAGGCAATTGGAGTTGAGGTACAGATCAGCCATGATCTTATAGAATGGTGGAACAGGCTTGAGGGGTTGAATGGCCTCCTCCTGTTTCTATGATCACCTTTCAGGGAGCCGATGTCTCCACAAGGACCACAGCAGCTTAACAGCAACAATAAAATAAAATTGCATTTTTATTGTGCCTTTCATGTCGGCAGGACTTCTCCCAAGGTGCTGACCGGTTAAGAGTTGGACACCCAAGCTGGGGGTTGGGATCAAGAGAGTTGGAGGCTATGGGAAGTGGGGTTGGGAGTGTGGCCGAAGGCAGTCAAAGAGGAAAGTCTTGAGACAGGCCTTGAATGAGGCAAGGCGGAGGATTCCAGGATGGAGTTTCACAGGCTGGGGTTCAGGGAGCAGGCCAGCATGAGGAGGGAGTAGACAAGTTGCTATGGTGTTAATCTGTCGCAGAGGTAAGGAGAATGACTGTAGCAAGCTTTAAAAGTGAAGATGGCACATTTTGAATAGTACCAAGAGATCTTTAACGACCACTAGGTCCTTGTTTTTATATCTGATCCAACAATGCAGCCCTGGGCTGGACTGTCAGCCTACGCTATGAGCTCAAAGTCTCCACGTGGGGCTTGAACCCACAACCTTCTAACTGAGAAGAAAAGTACCACCAACTGAGCCAAGCTTTGATATAAGTTGTTTAAACTACAGTCAGTATAAAACTGAACATTAGGCGCCTTAGCAATTAAAGTGTAACCCCAGTTATCTCTGACAAGATTTTAATTACCCCCAGTGAGAATTTACTGGTAAATGAAGGGGCGTTGTAGGTGGTTTGTCACTCTGCGCAATACTGCAGCCTGTTTTCTGTGTACGGTTAAATATGTGTGATTACTGTAGATTATACACCACACTGTGCCAAGTGCTCTCGCAGTACTTAGCACAATTGTTACTAACTGAGGAAGAGGAGAAGATTGAGAAAGGACACAGATTGGCTCTGTAGTTTACAAATGATTCTCCACACATTCTGCTCTCTCACTCTCAGCTATGCTTGAGAGCGGAGTGTAAATGAAAAATACGTACACACAAACTCAACAAGAATACTAATCTTTGCATTTGATACAGCGCCTTACCACATCTCTGAGACGCCTCAAAGCGCTTCACAGACTATACTGTAAAGTGAATTGACTGTATATTTTGTGGGCGAAATGCGGCAGCCAATTGTGCACAGCAGCGTCCCACAAACAGTCGTGGATTGAGTGACCACATTTTTTATTTTCTTTAATTTTGGGGAGGGATTATTACTCTCCGAAATCGATCTGCGAATCGATTACTATGGCTGGGTAAAACAGAGGTGCGTGCAGTAAGAAAACTTGCTTAAGGTTTCGCCCTGCCTGGGAATGAAAACTGGTTCCTCTTGTTTGCGAGGCGTGTTCTCTAACCAATATGCTACAGGACTCCACAACACAGGCCCACATACTCACACATGCACACACATGAAGAAGCAAATTGGCTGCCGTGTTCGCCCACAAATACACAGTCACAATACTTCACAGGTAAAAGAAAGCCCTATGAAGCCCTTTGAGAAATCAATGACGAGACATGTTGTCTATCAAATGCAATTTATCAAATTTAGTGACCATGTATTCGTAGGCGAATGTAACAGCCAATTTGCACACATCAATGTCTCACAAACAGCCATGAGTGAATGGCCAATTTTATCTATACTGTCGGGCCTCAAAGTGCCTCATAGGATTTACTGTAAAGTGTACTGACTGCATTTTTTCTGGCGAATGCGGCAGCTAATTTGCACACAGAAATGTCCTATAGACAGCCTTGAAGTGAAAGATCAACTTTATCTGAGGGATTTTACAAATCGTTCTCCACACTTGCTGCTCTTTTGCTCTCAGCTGTGCTTGAGAACGGAGTGTAAATGAAAAACACATACACACAAAAACTCAATAAGAATAATAATCCTTGCATTTGATATAGTGCCTTACAACAGCTCTATACTGTCTCTATACACTATTCTCTACCCTGAAAAGGTGTGGAAGCTGATTCGATAACAACTTTTAATAGAGGAGTAGATAATTATTTGTGGAGGACAGGGTTGCAGGGCTATGGGGAGAGAGCGGGGGAGTGGGATTGATTTGGATAGCTCTTTTCAAGAGCAAGCACAGACAATTGTATGATTGTCGGCCAGGACCTCAGGCTTTTGATCAGTGCCATAGGATCTTTAATGTCCACCTCGGTTTAATGACTCTGAGCCGGGGGGAGATGACCGTAGGCACGGTTATAGAATCATAGAATCATACAGCACAAAAATAGGCCATTCAGCCCATTGCGTCTGAGCCGACTCCTAAAAGAGCTTCCAACTCAAGCCCACTGGCCCGCTTTCTCTCCATAGCCCTGCAATCCTGTCCTCCCCAAATACCCATCTACTCTCTTAAAAGTTGTTATTGAATCAGCTTCCACTACCCTTTCAGATAATGCATTCCAAATCCCAAGAACTCGCTGTGTGAAAACAATTTTCCTAACCTCCCTTCTGTTCCTTTTAACAACTAACTTAAATCGGTGTCCTCGGGTTACTGACCCACAGGCCAGTGGGAACATTTTTTCTTGGTTCAACCTATCAATCCTCTCATGATCTTGAAAATCTCTGTTAAATCCTCTCTTAATCTTCTCTGCTCGAGGGAGAATAATCCTAGTTTCTCTAATCTCTCCTCATAACTAAGATCCTTCAATCCTGATACCATCCTGGTAAACCTCCTTTGCACCCTCTCCAATCCCCTAACATCTTTCCTAAAGTGCAGTGCCCAGAACTGAACACAGTCTCCAACTGAGGTCTAACAGTATTTTATAAATATTCAACATCACCTCCAAACTTTTGTATTCTATGCCCCTATTTATAAAATCTAGTATCCCGTGTACTTTTTTAACAGAAGAAGGTCTTCAGGCCTGAAGGAGGCCGGAGCCAGTCAAGCGGAGGCAACAACAACAACTTGGATTTATATAGCGCCCTCCACGCCGGATGGCGTCTCAGAGCTTCACGGATCCCAGGGCCGAGCCAGGGGGAGGAGCCAGGGAGGAGGAGGAGCCAGAGGAGGGGGAGGAGCCAGGGGAGGGGGAGGAGCCAGGGAGGGGGAGGAGCCAGGGGGAGGGGAGGAGCCAGGGGGAGGGGGGCGGGAGGGGGAGGAAGGTGACCAAAGGTGCGGTCGATAAGAAAGGTCTTCAGCAGAGACCTGAAAATGGGAAGGGAGGGGGCGAGGGGAAGGGAGTGAGGAAGGGAGTTCCAGAGCCTCGGGGCATAGTGGCTGAAGGCACGGCCACCGAGGGTGGAGTGGAGGACTTGGGGGAAAAGAGGAGGCCAGACCTGGAGGAAAAAGGAATTGGGTAATGTTTTGAGGAGAGAGGAGGTCAGAGAGGTCGGGGGGTGCAGAGGAGTGCAGGGACTTGAATACGAGGTGAGCATCTTGAAGTCGATCCTCTCGGGGATAGGCAGTGAGTGCAGTCTGGCGAGGACTGGGGGGATCGGGGAGTGGGGTTTGGGGGTGGGGGGGAGGGCCAGGACTGGGGGGATCGGGGAGTGGGGTTTGGGGGTGGGGGGGGAGGGCCAGGACTGGGGGGATCGGGGAGTGGGGTTTGGGGTGGGGGGGAGGGCCAGGACTGGGGGGATCGGGGAGTGGGGTTTGGGGTGGGGGGGAGGGCCAGGACTGGGGGATCGGGGAGTGGGGTTTGGGTGTGGGGGGAGGGCCAGGACTGGGGGGATCGGGGAGTGGGGTTTGGGTGTGGGGGGGAGGGCCAGGACTGGGGGGGGGGGGAGGGGGGGGGGGGGGGAGGGCCAGGACTGGGGGGATCGGGGAGTGGGGTTTGGGTGTGGGGGGGAGGGCCAGGACTGGGGGATCGGGGAGTGGGGTTTGGGTGGTGGGGGGGGAGGGCCAGGACTGGGGGGATCGGGGAGTGGGGTTTGGGTGTGGGGGGGGGGGCCAGGACTGGGGGGATCGGGGAGTGGGGTTTGGGTGTGGGGGGGAGGGCCAGGACTGGGGGGATCGGGGAGTGGGGTTTGGGTGTGGGGGGGAGGGCCAGGACTGGGGGGATCGGGGAGTGGGGTTTGGGTGTGGGGGGGAGGGCCAGGACTGGGGGGATCGGGGAGTGGGGTTTCGTGTGGGTGAGAATGCGGGCGGCAGAGTTTTGAATGATTTGGATTTTATGGATGGCATTGGAGGGGAGGCCGGCGAGGAGGACACTAGAGTAGTCCAGCCGTGAGGTGACAAAGGCATGGACCATGGTTTCAGCTTTTGGTGTGAGGTATTGGCGGAGACGGGCGATGCGTCGGAGGTGGAAGAAAGTGAGGGTGAGGGACTGGATGTGGGGGAGGAAGGATAATTGGGGGTCGAACCTGACGCCTAAGGTGTGTATGGGTTCGGAGAGTTTTAGGGGGAAGTCGGGTAGGTGGAGGAGGTGAGAGCCGTAAGATTTTAGATGTTTATGAGAGCCAAAGAGTATGGCTTCTGTCTTGTCAACGTTCAGCTGAAGGAAATTTGCGCACATCCAGCCCCTGAGATCTGACAGACAGAACATCAGGGGACTGGGGGTCACAAAGAGAGGTGGAAGAATAGAGTTGGGTGTCATCTGCATACATGTGGAAGTGTACCCCATGTCTGCAGATGACATCCCCAAGAGAAAGCATATAGATCAGAAAGAGGAGGGGGCCAAGGATGGATCCTTGGGGTACCCCACAGGTAGCTGGGTGAGAGCATTGGGGAGTAAGCAGGTCACAGAGGGAGGGAGGTTCCAGGGCCTTAAAATGAATGTGAGAATGTTGAAATCGATCCTTTTGGTGATGGGGAGCCAGTGGACCCTGGCTAGATCTGGTGTGATGGAATACATAGTGCCAGCGGCAGAGTTTTGGATCAGCTGGATCACGTGCATGGTGGAGCTAGGAGACCGTCAAAGAGGGCTTTTGAAAAGTCCAGTCAGGAGGTGTCGAACGGTGGAGGAAGGCGGTCCTGGTCAGGGAGCAGAGCAGGGAAACCTCAGGACAGACGCTATGAAGCATTTCTCTTCCCAGAGAATTATTATCTTAAAGCAGGTTACCTGGAAGGATGGTTGAAGCCTGGACACTGGACGTGGCTCAGTGCTGTGATATAACAATAACAACAACAAGATTACATTTGTATAGCGCCTTTCACGTTGGGAGAACGTCCCAAGGCGCTGATAGGACCAGAGGCTAGACTTCTCACTGAGAGCAACAAGGTTTTATACTGCCCTAGAACGCTACACACGCAAAATTAATTGAGACTCTCATGAGCGATCGCTAATTGGGAAGTAGAAACATTAAAGGATATGGGGAATGACGGGAGGCCATGGTATGTTAGGTCTTGAAATGGTCTGTGGAGAGTTAAATGTTTTTCTCTTGCTCCTAAATTCCTCTTGTGACCTCACCTGATCTGATGGGATACCTGCCCGTCAGGAAGGCTGCTCTGCTGGGGGTACAGAGTGGAGAAGCAGCTATGTGTTGGGTAAGCATCACTCCATCCTTCGCCAGGCTGTCTATGTGGGGAGTTCTGCAATACAGATAACATATTGAAAACTGTCACAACCTAAGATATCAGTAACATACCAAGACAGCAGACATGGGTACAGAGTTACAAAGGCCAGTTTCAGGACAGACAATTTCAGGTCGGCAGGACGTCCCAAAGCGCTGAACAGATCAGGAAGGGTGGTTGAGGCCAGGACCCTGGACTTGGCTCAATGCTATGATAGGAAGGCAGTAGTGAAGGTATTTTGAAGGATGAGATCAAATTGGCCGAAAAGGTCTCGTTTATCTAAGCCTCTTGTGATCTGGTATCTCTTTTGTATTGCGATTCAGGTGGGATAACCTGCTAAAGCAATTTGGAGTCTTTACTCTCAGTTAATCCTGGTTTACAGCTATCCCCCCACCACCCCTCCCAAATTTACCTCCAAATTCAAATTTACTGACTACCCATCTCATTGCTTTTTAACAGGACATTGCTGGTGCAGATTTGATATTGTTAGAATATACACTTTTTGTATACTGCTAGAATCATAATAGATGTTGTGAATGGGTTAACTTTTAAGTTAAGTGCAACTGGACTGACAGTCACGGGATAGGACTCATCTGGTTTTCTCTGTTTTTGAAAGAATAACGGACAGGGGCCGGGGGTCACCTCTTATCAGTAAATGACAACAAGCCACAGAGGTAACGGTCCAAGGTACCAGTCCACACAGGATCTCGACTGAGCAATAAGTCGCTAGATTCTGACAGGGCCGACCGACAGAAGGCAACCCTCAAGAATAGCAACTAATGAGCAAGTTGTTTAAACTGGAGGACCTCGGTACCATCCCGGGATACTGATAAGGAATAACCAGTCACTTAAAAGGAATGATCCCACACCACAAAATAATGAGCACCAGATACAGCCCTAAACTGATCAATCCTCTATCTTAGACAATTAGATTAGATAACAGGAGTCTTAAGGACAATGTGTATGTGTGTGAGGCACTACACCCCATGAGGTGCTCACGTGAACCCGGTATGATTTCGACCGGGTGATCTAATGTCCGCACCATGATTGGATGAACATTGGTATGAGTTCCGTTAACTTTGTGTACGGGGCCATCCCGGGTCGTGGAGACAAGGATACGGGAGATGGGGCCGTCCTGGGCTGCGGAGACAAGGGTACGGGAGATGGAGCTGTCCCGGGTCGTGGAGACAAGGGTACGGAGATGGAAGACTGAGAGCTGGAAACACTAAGACTGAGGATATTAGATGTAAGATTGAAAGCTGTCGGCAAGAAGACTGAAAGCCGAAGAATCAAACTTGTGGGCTGGAAAGGCACAGTGTTGAACTCTTGAACTCGAGATATCTATAGTGGTGTTATTCTGTTATAAGATCTGTTGATTGTACGGCCTTTGGTCTGACCCATCGGGATATTGGGGAATAACGAACTAATAGTAATAAAACAGTCTGATATCTGGTTAGAGGAATTAGCGTTATTTCCTTACAGATTTGGCTGATTTTATTTTCTAACAATATCATGTTTGCCTCTAACATTTACTTACACTTGCTTTGTTTGGGGTCTGTGGGCAACACAACACAAATTTGCAGCGCTTTTCAAGTCAAGAGTCCCGTGGGGAGTTCTGCAATGCAGATAACATACTGAAAACTGTCACAACCAAAGTTATCAGTAACATACCAAGGACGTGAAATTGTCTGATCAATCTTTGCTTGGCATGTGAGTTGGGGTTGGGAGCCGAGCTGAAGGTGGGAGGGGTATAGTCAAAGAGGTAGGCTTTGAGACGGACCTTGTAAGAGGCCAGGGAAGGTCTATAGGATGGAGTTCCAGAGAGCAGGAGCAGATAGGCTGAAAGCCCAACTGCCGATGGTGTGGCAGGGACATTAAGCAGGCCGGTGCCCACAAAAAATGATTATTATTATCCCTAGTTGCTCTAAAGGTGGTGGTTCTCCTCAAACAACTACAGCCTTTGTGGTGACTGCGCTCCCACGATGACGCTGGCTCCAGGATTGTGAACTGACAATAATGCTGAACAAATGGCGATGCATGTCTGAGTCAGGGGTGGCGAGCGACGTCATCATAATAATCCTTGCATTTGATATAGCGCCTGATCACATCTCAAAGCGCTTCACGGAATATACTGTAAAGTGTAGTGACTGCGTATTTTCTGGGCAGCCAATTGACCTGAAAGGGAACTTGGAGGTGGTGGTGTTCTCATCACGATCCTGTGTTTGGTGGAGGCGACTGTTGCTGGGAAAACCTGATAGGCAAGTTGATGTGCAGCTAAGGTACCTCTGGAACGAGGAGTAACTGCATAGTGACCTGAGTGGTGGGCAAACAACTGCTCTTTGCTGGATGATGTTGAGTTTCTTGAACATTAATGCATGGATGATCAGGACCAATATAGATTACGTTCTTGGGAGAGGTTAGGAGGTGGGCCTCTCATCACAGAGTTCATATAAGTTCAGGTGAATGTCGTTGAACAAGTTACACTTCTTGCCCATAGCCGGTTGGTGGTGAGAGAATCATCAATGGTTGTGTCATTGAAAATCATGGGGGAGGTGGCTGGGCTCCAAGTCTCTCTCGTCTCACTTTTCAAGTGCTTTGGGCTGTTTATTTTACAGGGATGGCGCTGCATAAACACAAGCGAAAAGAATAGGAATACTTTTGAACACAAATCCGTTTCACTTGTGCTGGCTCTGTCTTGTGGAGACAGAGAACTGGGCTCCAGATGAAAGCAAAAGGAGTTGTTATAATAATCCTTACATTTCGTATACTCATTTTTCATGTCCCAAAGTGCTTCACACCATTTAATGTGAAGTGTGGTGTGTTTTATGGACGAACGCGCAAAGCAGTGTCCCACAAACAACCATTTTTTGGGTTTCTATTTTCAAATATTGCCATGGGATCTTTAATATCCATCTGAACAGGCAGATGGAACCTCGGTTTTAACATCTCACCAAAGGATGGCACCTCCAATATTACATCAGCGCCTTGGGACGTCCTCCTGACTTAAAAGGCGCTATAAAAATGTAATTTTGTATGGTGTATGGTATTGTATTGCACACCACACTCCCAGGTCTGCACTGGAGACTGTGATTGTCAAGGCCCGACATGGTGGCTTGAACCACAACTGAGTACCAACTGAGCCAGGCTGACACACATAAATTGATGATTTAATTTTAGATGGGACTGGAGGAGCCACAGGAATGTGCCAATATAAAAATTGGACAGGTAATAGGTTGAAATTTATTTGCTGTTTCTTCAACACAAATACTTGTTCTAAAGCCCATCTACGTGGACTTTCACAAGGTCTTTCAATCATTCATTTTGGTGGAATTGTGAATAATAATTATCTTGTTTCACTTGTATTTGCCTGCAAACACACGGTCAGCACATATTGCAGTAAAATCCTTGAAGCGCTTGGGAGACATTTTTGATGAGGTGAAATCAAAAGGCAAGGATTATTATTATCCAGATTATTGATCACCTTCTCAAGAGGAGTTGAAGCAGCCATGAGCCCCGTTAATCATGCATGACAGGCAGACTTACACAGGAACATGCAAGTCGGTCAAGGTTGGTGCAGGTGGGACAAGATTTTAACAATGCCTTTATATCCTAATCCACCTACTGTGTCTTCGCCTTCTTTCTCCACCACTGTTAAGCACTCTGAGATTCTACCCTGCATGCAGGGCTCTATATAAGCAGGTTTTTGTGGTTGACCCTGACACATAGGTGAATAATAAAAATGATAACGATAATAATAATCCTTGTATTTGATATAGCCCCTTAGAGCATCGTTGAGATGTCGCAAGCCTAATTGACAGGCTTCACAGAGTATATTGTAAAGTGAGTGACAGTGTATTTTGTGGGTGAAATGTGGCAGCCAATTGCACACAACAGTGTCCCACAAACAGTCCCGGATGGAGTGACCAACATTTTTTTTGGGGTGTGGGGGGATTATTACCCCCAGAAAGCAGTCCGGCAATCAACTAACAACCGGATTCCTACTTACTGCTAGTTAAACAGAGGCATGTGGAGTAAGGAAACTTGAAAAAATACGTTGTGTTAAGCATCATTGTACCTGAGAGTGTCGTTCCCGTAACAGCCCAGGTCTCCGATACCAAGGTCGTCGGCCATGATAAGCACGTAGTTGGGACGCACGTTTGCTTTCTGCTCCAGATTTCCAGACACCAGCGGCAGGAGAAGCACCCACAGCATCGTCATTTCCCTCTCACGTGGATGGTTCCAGCTTAAGAGCCAGGGGTTAGGAGGAGGCAGAAGAGCAAGGGAGGGGGAGGAGTTAGGGGGACGGGGAGGAGCAGCGGAGGGGGAGGAGTTAGGGGGACGGGGAGGAGCAGCGGAGGGGGAGGAGTTAGGGGGATGGGGAGGTGCCAGGGGAGGCAGGAGGAGCCAGGGGAGGGGTTAGGGGGAGGAGCCAGGGGAGGGGGAGGGGTTAGGGGGAGGGAAGGAAGGTGACCAAAGGTGCGGTAGAAAAGAAAGGTTTTCAGAAAAAAACTGACAATGGGAAGGGAGGGGGTGAGGAGAAGGGAGTGAGGAAGGGAGTTCCAGAGCCTCGGGGCACAGTGGCTGAGGGCAACGAATTGTGGGGTCACTGTTTATGGGAACGCCGCTGTGCGCAATTGGGCTGCCGGGGTTTCGCCCACACAACACAGTCAATTCACTTTACAGTGTATCCTGTGAAGCGCTTTGAGACGCCTCGAAGGAGTGACGAGGCGCAGGGTTACCATGCGAGGATCATTATCATCAAGGGATTATTATTATCAAAGCACAAGGATTATTCAGCCGCTGCGCCCCGAATCTTTGGAGCTCTCTCCCTAAATCTCGCCGCCTTGCGCCTTCCCTCCCTCCCTCCACACCCTCAAACACCCGCCTATCGACCTTCCTTTTTTGATGGTGCTTACAGTCAGCTACACCCCCATCCCCCCCAACACCCCCCACAATTTTGTCATTGGAGAAGACAATCAACAACAACAACAACAAGATTCCATTTATAGAGCGCCTTTCACGTCGGGAGGACGTCCCAAAGCGCTGGACAGTTGGGTCAGGACATGAGCAGTGGGGAAATGGTCAGGGGGAGGGAGGGAGCGAGGAGGGGGGGAATGGTCGGGGTGAGGGGAAAGAAGGGAGGGAGCAAGGAGGGGGTAGAGAGTCGAGAGGGGAGCTGAAGGTACGGTCAAAGAGAAAGGTCTTGAGACCGGCCTTGAAGGAGGAAAGGGAGGAAGCGACGAAGGCACTGGGGATGGAGTTCCAGAGCCTCGGGGCTGAGAGGCTGAAGGCCACTGATGGTAGGGCGGTTGGGGCGGGGGACGTGGAGCAGACCGGAGCCAGAGGAACGGAGGGTACGGGGGGGGGTACGTGGGGGGATAGTAGGTCAGAGAGGTAGGAGGGAGTGAGGCCGGGAATGGCCTTGTAGGTGAGGATGAGGATCTTGAATTCGATCCTCTGGGGGATGGGGAGCCAGTGGAGGCGAGCGAGGGTGAGGGTGAGGGCGAGGGTGAGGGCGAGGGTGGGAGTGATGTGGTTGCGGTGTCTGGTGTGGGACAGTACACGAGCTGCAGAGTTCTGAATGACCTGCAGTGTGGAGGGAGGGCCGGGAAGGCCGACGAGGAGAGAGTTCCCATAGTCCGGCCTTGAGGTGATAAAGGTGTGGACCAGAGTTTCAGCCGCGTGAGGGGTGAGGTAGTGCCGTAGTCTGGCGATGTTCCGGAGGTGATGGAAGGCAGTGCCAGTTGTGGTGCGGATATGAGGGAGAAAGGACAGCTCAGGGTCGAGGGGAACCCCGAGGTTCCTGATGGCTTTGAGAGGTGGAGAGTGCGGAGCTGATGGTGTCAGCGCCTGAGGTGCGGAGGCGCTGACGTGAGCCAATCAGGAGGGCCTCAGTTTTTCGTACGTTGAGCTGAAGAAAGTTGTCTCTCGTCCAGGACTCGATGTCGGACAGACAGCTGTCAGGACATCGGTGGTCGTGGAGTTGAGAGTAGAGGAGGAAAGGTAGAGTTGGGTGTCATCCGCATACATGTCCCTCGCCCTCTCCCCTCCCTCCCTCACTCCCCTCGCCCCCTCCCTCCTCCCCTCGCCCCCTCCCTCCTCCCCTCGCCCCCTCCCTCCTCCCCTCGCCCCCTCCCTCCCCTCGCCCCCTCCCTCCTCGCCCCCTCGCCCCCTCCCTCCTCCCCTCGCCCCCTCCCTCCTCCCCTCGCCCCTCCCTCCTCCCTCGCCCCTCCCTCCTCCCCTCGCCCCCTCCCTCCCCCCCTCGCCCCTCCCTCCTCCCCTCGCCCCCTCCCTCCTCCCCTCGCCCCCTCCCCTCCCCCCCCTCCCTCCTCCCCTCGCCCCTCCCTCGCCCCCTCCCTCCTCCCCTCGCCCCCTCCCTCCTCCCCTCGCCCCCTCCCTCCCCCCCTCGCCCCCTCCCTCCCCTCCCTCACTTCCCTCCCTCCCCTCCCCTCCCTCCCTCACTCCCTCCCCTCGCCCCCTTGCTCCCTCCCTCCCCTGCCTCACTCCCCTCGCCCCCTCCCCTCCCTCCCTACCCTCCCTCCCCTCCCCTCCCTCCCTCACTCCCTCCCTCCCCTCGCCCCCTCACTTCCCTCCCTCCCTCCCCTCCCTCCCTCCCTCGCCCCCTCCCTCCCTCGCTCCGGCCTCGGGGGGGGTGGCCTACCATACGCGCATCGCGATGGGGGGAGTGGACAAAAAAAATCGAAGGTCACCTCTGTTCCGTACGGCACCAAAAGAAAAACACTTTGGGAGAGAATCGACCGACGTGAAACATGTTTAAGTTGAACCGCGCCCCCTCCACCCCTCCACCTATTTTTCCTGCACAAAAAAAAGCAATGGGTCTCAGCCTTTAAATCGATGGTAATAACTGACCCGATCGCGCCGTCGAGACGTCCCACGCGCACAACGCCAATAATAATAATAATAATCCTTGCATTTGATATAGCGCTTTTCACGTCGGGAGGACGTCCCAAAGCGCTTCACAGAACACACTGTAAAGTGAATTGACTGTATATTTGTGGGCGAACGCGGCAGCCAATTGCGCGCAGTGGCGTTCGTTCCCCCCCCCCCCACACTTGAAATTACACTTTAAATATTTTTGGAGGGGGTTATTAACCGCTTTCCCCACCCCGGCAATCCCCCAGGCAATCCGTTCTGAAGCCCCGGCACCCCGGGGAGCCAGCCCAGCGCTTCGCTGCTCAGGGTCTTCAGTCCAGTAACCGATCGCGAATTCAACAACAACAACAACAATAATAATCTTTGCATTTTGTCACGAGGACTGGTCACGCCTTCGAGACGTCTGAAAGCGCTTCACAGGATACCCTGTAAAGTGTAGTGACTGCGTTGAGTCCTGGCAACGCCCAGTCTGGTGCAGGTGGTGGTGGGGACTGCGCGGGTGGGGTGTGGGCTGAGGGAGGGGGTCACTCCGGGGGCGCAGGTGGTCGGCCACCGCCGCGCTCTCGCCGACCGACCGCTTCCCGCCGCCGCCGCCGCCTCACGGCTCACGGACGGGACCGCGCGGACATGGCCGAGGCAGCGGCCGCCGGTTACCGTCCGGTCACTCACGTCATCTTCGACATGGACGGGACGCTGCTCGGTGGGTCACTTTGTGGCGCTTCTTTCTGCTCTTTCTCTTTCCCCTCAGAACCAACCGCCGCGGACAACGGCTCTCGGGGGGGAGGGGGGGGGGGGGGCGGTCCCCATAGCAACCGCGGGCCTCACCCGCCACAACACACTCACTCCCCGCGTGTCGCACAGTCACCACACTCCCCGCGTGTCACACAGCAACACACTCCCCGCGTGTCACACCGTCACCACACTCCCCGCGTGTCACACGGTCACCACACTCCCCGCGTGTCACACAGTCACCACACTCCCCGCGTGTCACACAGCAACACACTCCCCGCGAGTCACACGGTCACCACACTCCCCGCGTGTCACACAGTCACCACACTCCCCGCGTGTCACACGGTCACCACACTCCCCGCGTGTCACACGGTCACCACACTCCCCGCGTGTCACACGTCACCACACTCCCCGCGTGTCACACAGTCACCACACTCCCCGCGTGTCACACAGTCACCACACTCCCCGCGTGTCACACAGTCACCACACTCCCCGCGTGTCACAGTCACCACACTCCCCGCGTGTCACACGGTCACCACACTCCCCGCGTGTCACACGGTCACCACACTCCCCGCGTGTCACACGGTCACCACACTCCCCGCGTGTCACACGGTCACCACACTCCCCGCGTGTCACACGGTCACCACACTCCCCGCGTGTCACACGTCACCACACTCCCCGCGTGTCACACGGTCACCACACTCCCCGCGTGTCACACGGTCACCACACTCCCCGCGTGTCACACGGTCACCACACTCCCCGCGTGTCACACGTCACCACACTCCCCGCGTGTCACACGTCACCACACTCCCCGCGTGTCACACGGTCACCACACTCCCCGCGTGTCACACAGTCACCACACTCCCCGCGTGTCACACGGTCACCACACTCCCCGCGTGTCACACAGTCACCACACTCCCCGCGTGTCACACGGTCACCACACTCCCCGCGTGTCACACGGTCACCACACTCCCCGCGTGTCACACGGTCACCACACTCCCCGCGTGTCACACGGTCACCACACTCCCCGCGTGTCACACGGTCACCACACTCCCCGCGTGTCACACGTCACCACACTCCCCGCGTGTCACACGGTCACCACACTCCCCGCGTGTCACACGGTCACCACACTCCCCGCGTGTCACACGGTCACCACACTCCCCGCGTGTCACACGGTCACCACACTCCCCGCGTGTCACACGGTCACCACACTCCCCGCGTGTCACACGGTCACCACACTCCCCGCGTGTCACACGGTCACCACACTCCCCGCGTGTCACACGGTCACCACACTCCCCGCGTGTCACACGGTCACCACACTCCCCGCGTGTCACACGGTCACCACACTCCCCGCGTGTCACACAGTCACCACACTCCCCGCGTGTCACACGTCACCACACTCCCCGCGTGTCACACGGTCACCACACTCCCCGCGTGTCACACTGTCACCACACTCCCCGCGTGTCACACGGTCACCACACTCCCCGCGAGTCACACCGGTCACCACACTCCCCGCGTGTCACACGGTCACCACACTCCCCGCGTGTCACACGGTCACCACACTCCCCGCGTGTCACACGGTCACCACACTCCCCGCGTGTCACACGGTCACCACACTCCCCGCGTGTCACACAGTCACCACACTCCCCGCGTGTCACACAGCAACACACTCCCCGCGTGTCACACAGTCACCACACTCCCCGCGTGTCACACAGTCACCACACTCCCCGCGTGTCACACTGTCACCACACTCCCCGCGTGTCACACAGCAACACACTCCCCGCGTGTCACACAGTCACCACACTCCCCGCGTGTCACACTGTCACCACACTCCCCGCGTGTCACACGGTCACCACACTCCCCGCGTGTCACACGGTCACCACACTCCCCGCGTGTCACACTGTCACCACACTCCCCGCGTGTCACACAGTCACCACACTCCCCGCGTGTCACACAGCAACACACTCCCCGCGTGTCACACAGTCACCACACTCCCCGCGTGTCACACTGTCACCACACTCCCCGCGTGTCACACGGTCACCACACTCCCCGCGTGTCACACGGTCACCACACTCCCCGCGTGTCACACGGTCACCACACTCCCCGCGTGTCACACGGTCACCACACTCCCCGCGTGTCACACGGTCACCACACTCCCCGCGTGTCACACAGTCACCACACTCCCCGCGTGTCACACAGTCACCACACTCCCCGCGTGTCACACAGTCACCACACTCCCCGCGTGTCACACGGTCACCACACTCCCCGCGTGTCACACGGTCACCACACTCCCCGCGTGTCACACGGTCACCACACTCCCCGCGTGTCACACGTCACCACACTCCCCGCGTGTCACACGGTCACCACACTCCCCGCGTGTCACACAGTCACCACACTCCCCGCGTGTCACACAGTCACCACACTCCCCGCGTGTCACACAGTCACCACACTCCCCGCGTGTCACACAGTCACCACACTCCCCGCGTGTCACACAGTCACCACACTCCCCGCGTGTCACACAGTCACCACACTCCCCGCGTGTCACACAGTCACCACACTCCCCGCGTGTCACACAGTCACCACACTCCCCGCGTGTCACACAGTCACCACACTCCCCGCGTGTCACACAGTCACCACACTCCCCGCGTGTCACCAGTCACCACACTCCCCGCGTGTCACACAGTCACCACACTCCCCGCGTGTCACACAGTCACCACACTCCCCGCGTGTCACACAGTCACCACACTCCCCGCGTGTCACACAGTCACCACACTCCCCGCGTGTCACACAGTCACCACACTCCCCGCGTGTCACACAGTCACCACACTCCCCGCGTGTCACACAGTCACCACACTCCCCGCGTGTCACACAGTCACCACACTCCCCGCGTGTCACACAGTCACCACACTCCCCGCGTGTCACACAGTCACCACACTCCCCGCGTGTCACACAGTCACCACACTCCCCGCGTGTCACACAGTCACCACACTCCCCGCGTGTCACACAGTCACCACACTCCCCGCGTGTCACACAGTCACCACACTCCCCGCGTGTCACACAGTCACCACACTCCCCGCGTGTCACACAGTCACCACACTCCCCGCGTGTCACACAGTCACCACACTCCCCGCGTGTCACACAGTCACCACACTCCCCGCGTGTCACACAGTCACCACACTCCCCGCGTGTCACACAGTCACCACACTCCCCGCGTGTCACACAGTCACCACACTCCCCGCGTGTCACACAGTCACCACACTCCCCGCGTGTCACACAGTCACCACACTCCCCGCGTGTCACACAGTCACCACACTCCCCGCGTGTCACACAGTCACCACACTCCCCGCGTGTCACACAGTCACCACACTCCCCGCGTGTCACACAGTCACCACACTCCCCGCGTGTCACACAGTCACCACACTCCCCGCGTGTCACACAGTCACCACACTCCCCGCGTGTCACACAGCAACACACTCCCCGCGTGTCACACAGGAACAATACTCCCCGTGTGTCACACAGTAATAATACTCCCCGTGTGTGATACACTAATAATACTCCCTGTGTGATATAGTAATAATACTAATAATACTTCCTGTGTATGATACGGTGATAATACTACCTGTGTGATATAGTAATAATACTAATAATACTCTCTGTGTGATACAGTAGTAATACTAATAATACTCCCAGTGTGATACAGTAATAATACTGATAATGCTCCCTGTCAGTAATAATACTAATAATACTCCTTGTGTGTGATACAGTAATAATACTCCCTGTGTGTCATACAGTAATAATACTAATAATACTCCCTGTGTGATACAGTAATAATACTAATAATACTCCCTGTGTGTGATACAGTAATAATACTAATATTACTCCCTGTGTGTGATACGGTGACAATACTCCCTGTGTGTGATACAGTAATAATACTCCCTGTGTGTCATACAGTAATAATACTCCCCGTGTGTTATACAGTAATAATACTCCCTGTGTGATACAGTAATAATACTAATAATACTCCCTGTGTGTTATAATAATAATACTACTAATAATACTCCTTGTGTGATATAGTTATAATTATAATAATACTCATTGTGTGTGATATAGTAATACTACAACCAATAATAATATTTGTATGTGATGCAGTAATAATACTACTACTAATACTCCTTGTGTGCAATATAACAATAATACTAGTCTTGTATTTTATATAGTAATAATCATATAATCATATAATCCTTGTGTTTGATACCGTGATTACTGATAATAATATTCCTTGTGTGTGATATAGTAATATTACTACAACTAATAATAATATTCCTTTTGTTTTATATGGTAATAATCCTATAATAATCCTTGTGTTTGATATAGTAACAGTCATAATAATATCCTGTAGTCCTGTGGAGTCCTGTAGCTCAGTGGTTAGAGCTCACTTTGCAAGTGAGAGACCTGAGTTCAATTCCAGGCAGAGGGCGAAACCTTGGGCAAGTTTCCTTACTCCACACAGAGCCTAATAATAATCCTCCAAAACCAAAAACAATAATAAATTGGTCATTTTCAATCTACGACTGTTTGTGGGACATTGCTGTGCGCAATTGGCTGCCGCGTTCGCCCACAAATATACAGTCAATTCACTTTACAGTGTGTTCTGTGAAGCGCTTTGGGACGTCCTCCCGACGTGAAAAGCACTATATCAAATGCAAGGATCATTATTATTATTATCCTAGTGCTTGATATAGTAATAATCATAGTAAAACTACGTCTGTTTGATATAATAATAATAATCTAGAAGCTGTAATAAGGAACTATGTCGAATGCACAAATTATTATAAACCTTGTATTTGATACAGCGCCTTACATGCTGTCCAGACATCTCAAAGCGCTTCACAAAATATACTGTCAAGTGTCGTGACTGTGTATTTTGTTGGCAAAAGCGCGCAGCAGTGTCCCACAAACAGGTGTGGATTGAGTGACCACATTTATTTTTCGAAAGGATTATTGCCCCCAGAAAGCGATCCGCCAATCAACTAACAAGCGGGTTCCTACTTACTGGTACAAGAACAACAGCAACTTGCATTTATATAGCGCCCTTCACGCCAGAGAGTGTTGTTTTGGGTGAATAATTATTTTATAGTCATGTCAATGCTCATCACAGATTGGGAGCCCAGGGCTAGGGAGGCAAAGTAGGAAAGAGATAACCAAAGACGTAGTCAAAGAGGTAGGAATTTAGAAGCGTTGTGAAAGATGATATTACTATCATATTTAATAATCCTTGCATTTAATGTAGCGCCTTATCGCGTCTTTGAGACAGAATATACCGTAAAGTGAATTGACTGTATATTTTGTGGGCAGCCAATTGGGAACAGCAGTGTCCCATAAACAGTCGTGGCTTGAGTGACCAAATTATTATTTTTTTTTTTGAAGGGATTACTACCTCGGAAAAAGTGATACGCCAATCGACTAACAACCGGGTTCCTACTTACTGTTAGGTAAACAGCGTTGTGTGAAGTAAGGAAACTTGCCTGAGGTTTCGCTCTGCCCCGGAATCAAACCCAGGACCTCTCGCTTATGAGGCGAATTCACTAACCACTGAGCGACAGAACTCGTGTAGCGTAGTGCAAAAGAGAGACCTCAATTTAGGGAAAGACTCCCGGGGAGTGGAGGAAAGTGGGTGAAAGCTTGCTCACCAATGGTGAGGCGGTGGGCATTGGAGACATGAAGCAAGCCTGCATGAGCAGAGTGCCAGATTACCCATGAGGATTACCTACCTAACTTGCCTGTGACTCGTAAATTGTCAAGTCTCCCTCTCTTGTGGAATACAAAATGTACTGACTGTAGCATTTCCTGGTAATCAGCTGCAAATTCTTGCTCAATAAATGTACAGGAGTGATGTCACAGCCATTAATCCTTATGTATGAATGACCTCGTACATCAATAAGATTCAGCAGGGTGACATTGGCATCTCCGACTGATACCTCCTGCTAGCAGGAAAATAATTAAATCACTTGCATTTAATCACTGCACAACATTAAAAACGCCAGCATTAGACTGGGAGCAGCAGAGTCGGAAAGATGCAGTGAAAGATACGCAAACAAATCTTGGTTCTGCAGTTGAGCACAGGCCAGTGGCAAATTAATGTCTAGGATACTGTGTTCAAATGTAGTTTTCCCTAAATTATGGAATTCGATCAAGTGCACTAGATCATATTGAAATGATTGTGGTGTAGTTATAGAATTTGGATCAGTGCCCACCCTGCCTTATGCTGGTTTGAGGGTCAGAATTATGGTTATATATCGGTACTGTCAATATAGCCTGGGAAGCCGTGTTGTGAAACTGGAATGTGTTTTTGGGGTTGCTGCATTTTGGAGTTGGATTCATTCAGACCAGATAGGAGGTTCCATTTTCCAAGGAATAACACCACAAATATTCGCTGTATTGAGTGTTGGAACCAAATGAACTTATGAAAGACATACTGATCTTGAAACAAGTCCAGTGACTATTAACCGGAATGAGAGTTGGGAGGAAAAGACTTATAGTCACAGGCTGAATAAACCTGGGTTCTATTCCCTAGAGATGAGGATGTTAAAAGGGCAATCTGATTGAAATCTTTAAAAATAATAAGAGAAATTACATAGGAAACGATTCTTCCCTTTTGTAGGGAAATCCAGAACAAGGGGACATAACCTCAAATTAAAGTTAAACAGGTTAGAAGTGAAACAGTGTCATGTACCGATATACACTTTCATATTATATTTGTAGATCTCAATTCAGAGCACCCTTTTAACATCCCTGTCCTCAAATTTGGAACATAAACCAAGTTTAACTAAGTGCCTTCATACTCGGTATCAATCTGGCGAATCACTGCTGGATATGTTCCAACACCAATATATCCATTATGCCCCAGTAAGGGTATTTTGTTGCTACATTGCAAAGTATTCCCGATGAGGTTTGACCAACGCTTGAACTGGGAAACTCCGGAACACTCCCTCAATTCTTCTGCCTCGTCCCCTCCTTTCTCACCTTCAGATTGCGCCTGAAGACCTTCCTCTTCGACTGTGCTTACGGTCCCTCCCCCCTACCCCTGGCTCGGGGCTGTGTTGCCACTGTCCTGAGCTCTGGGATATTACCCCACGTGAAATGCAAGTTGTTTTTGTTGAGAGGGGATAGTTTACTGAAAGCACAGTCTTGCGATGGGTTGTGAACGAGGGTAGGGAGGGAAGCAATTTTGAGGGACTCCAGGATGGAGTTTCAGATAGACTTACATTTGTACTGCAATCAATCGTACTTGCATTTCAGACTCTTAAAATTTTCATCCACAGATACAGAACGACTTTACTTTATTGTCTTCCAAGAAATCTGTGACCGTTATGGTAAATCATTCACGTGGGAAGTGAAGGCCTTGATGATGGGCAGGAATGCCACCGAAGGTTCCAAAATAATTTGTGAAAGCCTGGAAATGCCTCTGACTCCAGATGAATTCTTAAAAGAATGCTTCCTTATCCAGAAGAAAATATTCCCTTCGGTCGAGCTGATGCCAGGTAATTATTAATACTTCACAATGTCCTTCACTTCTGCCGGTTCATAAGTGACGTCAGTGAAAGAGTGATTCATATTCTGCTCACTAAAGTGCATAAACGAAACCTTTCTCCTCTCCTTCCCTACCCTTCCCCAGTTTTGTCACCCAGTGTTAAATTCAAGCACTGTACAGCATAAGCCTTGTGAAGACCAAAGCGCTCTGTTCTGTTCCAGCAATGCACAATGTTCCAATAAAGAACCCTGCAAATCCTACTGTACCAGTGTACTGTATTCCTACAGGTATTTTCCACGCTGATCATCTATAGTAACTGATGTATTCAGACAGGAGTAAGACTATTGGTCTATCTATCGTTACTTCCGCCTACTTTTATATTCAGTGCTCCTGTTTATAAATCTCAGGATCCCATTTGCTTCCTTTTTTCAACCTGTCTCATAATCAAAAGTCCTATTGATTTTAAGAATCTTAGTTTTCTTCCTTTTTGCAACCCTCTATGCAGGGTAACCCTGTTGTTTGGGTATAATATCTCAGCCCCAGCAGCATCATGTCAGCCGGATTCAGTTGGTAGCACTCTCGCCTTTAAGTCAGACGTTTATGCGTTCAAGCCCAAGATGACACTCTATTGCACTGCTGGGGGTGCATTACATTGTCGGAGGCACAGTCCTTCAGATGAGACATTAAACCTATTCAGGTGGACGTTAAAAATCCCATGGCACTATTCAAAAAGTGAAAATTCTTTGTGTGACATTGCTGTGTGCAAATTGGCTGCTGCATTTGCTTACAAATACATTTTACAATATATCCTGTAACATATTTTGAGACATCCTCCTGATGTGAAAGGCACTGCACCAAGTGTAAGGATTATTAATATAATAAGAGTTCAAAAACAAAAAAGGCTGAGATCCTGTTTATCACGATGCTGATGTAATTTCCTGTGTGTTGGAAATGTCACTTCCTGCCTGGGGTGCTGACATCACTTCCTGTGCGAAATGCTGTCAGCAGCACTTTTTGTGAATAAGCAAACACATAGCCTTCAGGAGGGGACAGCAGTGATCCCTCCGGCGCAGAGTGTGCCAGTCCAGTGTCCTGTGCCGCTGGTTAGCTTGAGTTCAATGTTGACCCACACTATAATAATAATAATCCTGGCATTTGATACAGCGTCTTATTACGTCTTCGAGACGTCGCAAAGCGCTTCACAGAATATACTGTAAAGTGAATTGAGTGTATATTTTGTGGGAGTGAAACAGGAGAGTTGGGGGAGATATCATGAGATGGCCCTGTAGTTCCTTGTTTCATTATTCCAACACCTTGCTTGTTCCTATCATCTTTTTACTAAAAAAAAGTTTCCTGTGCTTTCTATTTGGTGTATTATTATTTGATGGTAATGGCCTTTTGCCAGTTATGTTTTCTGTCCAATTACTCACACTCTTCCTCCTTCAAGGTCAGCCTCAAGACCCTTCTCTTCAACCGTGCCCTTGGTCTCCCCCCACCTCTCTGCCTTCCCTCACCCCTACACCACCCCTCCCCCATGCTCAGGCCCCGATACCTGACTGTTCAGCGCTTTGGGACATCCTCCCGACGTGAAAGGCGCTCTATAAATGTAATTTTGTTGTTGTCGTGATTTGTGTTGGGTAATGCTTAGAAGAGGTTTTCCAGTGAGGTGGTGGAGGCAGATGATGTGGGCCATTTCGAAAGGGAATGAGATCCATTTTTGACGGCAGAGGGGGTTGGGGGAAGTATGTGAGGCAGAGTGAGATAGTGTTTGAAAATGAGAACAGACACATGGACTATATTGATCTTTTCCTCTCGCAGCATCTTCACAAGAGCATAAGTTAAAAGGATAATCAGTGCACTAACCAAACCGCTATGCCACTCACTCAGTCTCAGCAGAAAACCCTGTGCATGCTTGACATATTCAGTAGCTTACAATTCTATAAATTTCGTATCCATTTGATGGCGAAACATCGTCCTTTTGTTACGCAGGGGAAAATCCATCTTTTGTTCCCAGATTCAGCACACAGCGCAGTCCAAAGCCATTAAGTCAAGTTGACTGCATTGGGATAACTTGATCCATGCAAGAGTCCATCTGTGTCGCATAGATGCGACTTGGCAGTAAGTCATCTGAAGCATGATTCAGGCCGGCTTCATGTCCTCTGCCTGATCTTTTTCAGCAGTCGCGCTCTGGAGCTTAATCTCAAACTCTCTTGCCTCCATCTTTCCCCCATCAAAATCCACCTTCAGATAATAACAAATAATAATCCTTGCATTTGATACAGCGCCTTTTCACGTCTTTGAGACGTCTCAAAGCCCTTCACAGGATAGACTAAAATGTAATGACTATATGTGGACTATTTTATGGGTGAAACACGGCAGCCAATTTTGCACAGCTGTGTCCCACAAACAGTCGTAGATTGTCACCAAATTATTATTATTTTGTTTTGAAGGGAAAGTGATACTCCAATCGACTAACAACCGGGTTCCCACTTACTGCTAGGTGAACAGTGGGGTGGGGAGTAAGGAAACTTGCCCAACACTTCACCCTACCCGGGAATCGAAGCCATGTTCTTTTGCTTGCAAGGCGAGCGCTCTAAACACTAATCTACAGGACTCCACAGAAGGGTTGGGTTGGGGTGGGCTGGGTGCAGCGGAATGGGGGGAGTGGGAGAGAAAATCTATCCTTTTAACTGAACTTTCGGCTACATTCTCCCTCCATCCTCAGCCATCTCCTTCTCCAGCTCGTGCCCCGAAGCGAAGTGCTGTCAGACATCTTCCTGACATGAAAGACAAGATATAAATGCAAATTGTTGTTGTTGGCAATAAATTTGAGCATGATCTCACACTCATGGCAGAAACTGCTAGAGTTTCACCTTTACATCAAGTAATATATTAGCAGCTTAGTCAGACCACTTGTACAGCTTATTTATTTGTAGGGATTTTGTGCAAACAAGCCGCTTCGCTTGTCAATAATTATTGTAAAATGGTTTGAGACATTTTGATTTATTAGGCATTGTCTACAAGCTCTTTCTATTGAGTCCTCTCCCAAAAGACCTTCCATTTTGATAGTGCTTAAGGTCACCTCCCTCTCCCCCTGGCTGGGTGATAGACTCCGGCACTGTCAAGGGGGATGCTACCCTGCGTGAAAGCCACTATATAAATGCAATTTGTTGTTGTGTTTGTTGGAAGATTGTTCTTCGTATGTGGAGATTCTGAGGCAAGGTTGACAATTATCTATTGATTACAACATATTGTTGCTCTGGGCACCTTATAATAATAATAATAATAATAATAATAATCCTTGCATTTGTTATAGCGCTTTTCATGTCGGGAGGACGTCCCAAAGCGCTTCACAGAATATGCTGTAAAGTGAAGTGACTGTATATTTGTGGGCGAACGCGGCAGCCAATTGCGCACAGCAATGTCCCACAAACAGTCGTAGAGTGAAAATGACCAATTTATTATTGTTTTGGGTTTTGGAGGATTATTATAGTAAATTTTCCAGGTTGTTTGCCCATCACCAAGGATATGTTTTGAGAAACGTGTGTTTATTGTGATTGCTGGTTGTTTACTATAATACAGAGATGTATTTTAGCCATGTTAGCCCTACTCAACAATCCTCCAGCTAAAGGGATCATTTAATTCTATGCTGATGTGTTTACGTACATCGAAATTATAACAATTACACTGTAAAAAATGCAAGTTCTTTCTTTCTTCATCGCGAGAGTTGAATTCTAACGTTGAATCCAAAGTGTGATTTGGCCCAATAATAATAATAATAATAATAATTCTTGCATTTGATATGTCTTATCATTTCTTCGAGACCTCTCAAAGCGCTTCATAGAATACACTGTAAAGTGTAATGACTGTGTGTTTCATGGGAGAAAGGTGGCAGCAAATTGTGAACAGCAATACCCCACAAACAGTCGTGGATTGAGTGACCACATTTTTTTTGAAGGGTTTACTATCCAAGGAAAAGTGATCCACCAATCGACTAACAACCGTGTTCCTACTTACTGCTAGGTAAACAGTGTGTATATTGAGTAAGGAAACTTGTCTCAGGAAAGTTTCGCCCTGTCCCGCCCGGGAATCAAACCCAGGTCCTCTTGCTTGCGAGGCGAGTGCTAACCACTAAGCTACAGGACGTGTGCATGAACGTCAAATACTGAGCCACAGTGAGGAGTTATAGGAGAAGAGAAAATTTGTCAATTGTGGTTTGTCCACAACACTCAAAACCCAGCGTCTCTAGTCTGCTGTGAGAGACCAAAAAGAGCACACACACTGTGCTTGCTTGTCCAAAAACACACTCGCACAATAAGTATACTTTGCCTTTCAATAATAACTTTCAAAAGGGAATTGGATATAATAATAATAATAATAATCCTTGCATTTGATATAGTGCTTTTCACGTCGGGAGGACGTCCCAAAGCGCTTCACGAAACACACTGTAAAGTGAATTGACTGTATATTTGTGGGCAAGGTGTGTGGAGTAAGGAAACTTGCCCGAGGTTTTGCCCTCTGCCTGGAATTGAACTCAGGTCTCTCACTTGCAAAGCGAGTGCTCTAACCACTGAGCTACAGGACTCCACAATACTTGAAATACTTGAAAATTGAAAGGCTAAGGGGGAAAGAGCGGGAGAGTGGGACTAATTGGATAGCTCTTTCAAAGAGCCGGCCCAGCAACGATGGGCCGAATGCCTTCCTTCTGTGCTGTAGGATTCTATGATTCTATAATAATGACAATTTGCACTTATATAGCATCCTTTACACGGGATAGCTTCCCGGAGCCTTGATAGTGGCGGTGTCTGACAACGAGCCGGGGGAGAGGGAGGGGGAAGGGGCCCTCAAGCACAATCAAAATGAAAGGTCTTTAGGCGGAATTTGATGGTGTGGAGGTAGGGGGCAAGGTAGAGGGAATGAGAGGGAGTTCCAGAGTTTCGGGGTGTAGTGGCTGAAGGCACAGCCACCGATGGTGGAGCGGAGGGAATGAGGGACAAACAGGAGCCAGCCGAGCGGAGGCAGCGAAGGTAGAGCGTGGGGTTAAGCATTTGGAGAGGTAGGGAGGTGTAAGGGCATGAATTCGATCCGTTTGGTATTTGGGAGCCAGTTTAAGCCTGGCAAGGACTGGTGTGATGGGGTGCGGAGTTTTATTTTTGTGATTCTAAATGTCCAAGCTTATAAAACTAAATCCCACAGGGAGGGACATCTTCCATTTTCTGATTCTCTGTGAGAAGATGCCAAAGGTAATTTGTTTCTCAAAGCTCAAATCTTTTTTAATTCCCTTTTTTCTTTAAGAATAATAATAATAATAATCCTTGCATTTGATATAGCGCTTTTCACGTCGGGAGGACGTCCCAAAGCGCTTCACAGAGTACACTGTAAAGTGATTTGACTGTATATTTGTGGGCAAACGCGGCAGCCAATTGCGCACAGCAATGTCCCACAAACAGTCGTAGATTGAAAATGACCAATTTATTATTGTTTTTGGTTTTGGAGGGATTATTATTAGGCTCTGTGTGGAGTAAGGAAACTTGCCCAAGGTTTCGCCCTCTGCCTGGAATTGAACTCAGGTCTCTCACTTGCAAAGCGAGTGCTCTAACCACTGAGCCACAGGACTCCACAGAAAAAGAAATATAAAGAAAAAATAAAAATGATCTTTCTTTAAGAAATATAAAGAAAAAATATACCATTCTCCATCTGAGAGAGTGGCACAAACAGCATATTATGTCTATTAGGTCTCTATTAGGTCTCTGACACTGTGATTGTGAGCTGGGAAGTATGTATCTGATTCCACACATTGTGAGGTCCCAGTCTTGGCGTAGCTGCAAAGCGGTGACTTATCTCATGTTGTCTACAATTGGCACCTCTCATCCATGCCCTCCCCACAGTATATAGCGAAGATTACCATCTCAGACACCAATACAATGCAAACCATTATTAAGTGCTTCCCTAAAGCGTGGGATTACTTTTTGAACCCGTGATTGATGGAAGTCTGCTATCAGTGCAGACTGGGTGACACACTAAAAAAATACCAATAATAATCCTTACGTTTTGTATAGCGCCTTTCAAGTTGGGAAGATATTCTAACAACAACAATTTGGATTTATATAGCGCCCTCCATGCCGGACGGTGTCTCAGAGTGTCTCAAAATACTGCGTTATAATAGAATGCCCAGTTACGAAAGTGCTTGCTTGCTTTCTTCCTTGCTCAGTTGCAAATGTGTTTTTAACTTTCTTGTTTCTGTGCAGGCGTCGACAGGTTAGTTCGCTTTCTCCACAAAAAACAAGTGCCGATAGCAGTGGCGACCAGCTCGTCTCAACCGTTAATCAATATTAAGACGAGCAAACACAAGGAGTTCTTCAACTTGTTCCATCACGTCGTGAGTGGAGACGATAGAGACGTGAAAAAGGGCAAGCCCGAACCGGATTCCTTCTTGGTTTGTGCTCAGAGGTTCAAACCTCCAGCACTGTGTGAAAAGGTGAGGTAGCCCTTATTACTACTGTTTAAAACCTGCTGGTTCGGGAAGGTTATGCATTGGTAATATAATAATAATACTTGCATCTGATAATAGTAATAATAGTACTTTATCGCGTCTTTGAGACGTCTCAAAACGCTTCGCAGAATATACTGTAAAGTGTAGTCATTGTCTGTTTTATGGGCAAAATGCGGCAGCCAATTGTGTACAGCAGTGTCCCATAAACAGTCATGGATAGATTGAGTGACCACATTATTATTTAACTTTTTTTTAAATATTGAAGGGATTATTACTCCCGCAAAACAATCCACCAATCGATGAATTAAATTTATACAAGCGATTCAGGAGGTGGGTGAATGATTTTGATATAATAATGATAATCCTTGTATTTGGAATGGCGCTTTTCACATCTTCTAGACGTCTGAAAGCGTTTCACAGAACATACTGTAAAGTGAAATGACTGTATATTTGTGGGCGAAACGCGGCAGCCAATTGCACACAGCAGCGTCCCACAAATAGTCGTGGATTGAAGTGACCAATTTTATTATTATTGTTTTTTCTTGAGGGATTATTATCAGGTGTGTGGAGTAAGGAACTTGCCCAACATTTCACCCTGCCGGGAATCAAACTCAGATCTCTCACTTGCGAGGCGAGTTCTCTAACCGCTGAGCTACAGGCCTCCAGATAGCTCACTCATCAGGTTCAAATTCTATCCCTGGTCTTGGAACTCCCAGAGCAGGCTGACACTCCAGTGCAGCCCTGGGAGAGCGTCTCATCATCCAGTTTTGTTTACCCCATTTTATCAAAGATACCAGGATATAGTTTCGCCCACAAAGTTCACTTTACAGAAGTGTGAAGTGAACTGTGAAGCGTTTTCAGACATGTCGAAGATGTGGTAAGGCACTATATCAAATGCAAGGATTATTATTATTATTATAGAGGGTGCAGAGGAGATTTACTAGGATCATACCAGGAATTAATGGTTTGACTTGCAGTGGAACTGGAACAGAAAAGCTTGGGAAGAGATCTGATTGAGTTCTTTAAAATGATGAATAGATGGAGAAGCTTTTTTTCCCACTGGTTGGTGAGTCACTGACGAGAAGGCTTCAGTTTTAGGTGAGTGCATAAAGGTGGAGCTTAAACATAGAGTTGTTAGGATGTGGAATGCTCTGCCGGGTCTGATGGTTGAGGCAGGATCCATAATTAGCTTCCACTAGGAAACTAGATTAATATGTAAAAAGGAATAGTTTTGCAGGTTTAGGGAGAAAAGGCAAATAAACACCGACTGTCAGCGCATTAGGACGTCCTCCTGACGTGAAAGGTGCTATACAAATGTAATTTTGTTGTTATTGTAAATGGTACCGAAAGGATTATTCTTTTAGAGCCAGAACAGACGCAGAGGGCCAAATGGCCTCCTTCTGTGCTGTGAAGTTCGATGGTAATATTGTCTGAAGTGCTGTCCTTTGGATGAAACATTACAACTGAGGTCCTGTAAAGCAGACGGTAATGATTCCATGGAAAAGAGAATGGAAATTCTCCTGGTGTGCTGCCAGCTGTACTCTAGATAAATTGGTTATTCACTTTATAGCTATTTGTGGGAGTTTGCTGCTGCATTTGCCTACAAAAACACACTCATTAGACTTGACAGCAATTACCTGCGAAACACTTTTGAGACATTTCAATGTTGTCGGGGCTATATCTAACGTAATTATTATTATGACTGCTAACAAAACAGCAAACTCAATTCAAAAGCAGCAGCATCCCTTCAAAAAATTCAAATGGGAGAAATTAATAGTTTGGGAGTTATTACAATTGATGTGAGATGGATGGCAGTGCAAAATGATGGAGTTCCTTCAGGCTATTTCAGCTATTTTGGAACTATGCTAGAAAAGGACATTTAGCAGCTGATGGACTGATGGGTATCAGATGGCCATACCTGCCTGTAGACAACCCCATTGCTGGTAGCTGAGTGTGCATGGATGTCGGTTGTTCACAAAAATTATCTTGGTTTTGACTTCCACCTGTCCCCACTTCTGACACTCGCATATGTGTTATGTCTGTCATGTCCTCTGTGCTGCCTGCCTTGCCAACGGTGGCCGAGCTTTCAGTCATTCTGCCACTGCTTTCTGGATTTCTGTCCCTTGGGTCGATTGTTCAGATGGCCTCCCAGTCCCACCATCCACAAAACAAGTGGATCCAAATCTCTGCTGCCCACATACTCATCCTTACTAATACTCATTTGTACTAAACTCCGTACCCTCATCAGACCAGTCCTAGCCTGGTTCCATTGGCTCCCTATTGCCGAGCGGATCGATTTCAGGATTGTCACATTCATTTTCAAATTCCTTCATGCCCTGGCACCTCCCTCCCTCTCCGACGTGCTTACTATCCAACTCACTACCCGCTGCTTCCGTTCGACTGGCTCTGGCCTCCTGCTTGTCCCTCGTGCCATCCATTCCTCCATTGGTGGTTACGTTTTCAGCTACTACACCCCAAAATTTGGGAACACTCTTCCTCTATCCTTCCGTCTAGCCCCTTCCATCCCCATCTTCAGGTCGTGCCTGAAGACCTTCATCTTCAACCTATGGTAACCCCCCCACCCACCCCCTGCTCGATGTAGTGCTCCACCACTGACAAGCGTTCTGGGATGCTGCCCTGTGTATATAAATGCTAATTGTTTTTGTTGGGTCACTCAGACTTGTCCTCTCTCTCTCTCCTCACTTTCGAAACCCATCTTACCTCTTTGAACACGGTGATTTTCCTCACCATTAATTCCCTCAGGTTCCTATCCAGCTGTGTAAAGTGCCTTGCGATACCTTCCCGATGTGAAAGGTGCTATACTGTATAAATGTAAATTTTATTTATAATGGTCTCTTGGACAAGGAGCTTGATGCCCATGTAACCCACTTGTAAGATAACGGCGTTGGGTGTCTTCAGAAAGGGAGAGAAGAAAATTGGAAAGAAACATGTTTGTGCAAATGGAAAATAGGTATTTCCATTCACCACGTCTTTTTAGCCTCATACAACTAGCAGACCCATTGATAGTAATTTAAGATTATTTGTGTGTTACAGAACAACTTCAGTTGGAAGCACATTATCTCTTTGGTAATGAGGTCCAATAAAATGCAGTAATATGATTTCCCAATAAGGACTCTTGAGTTGCAAATGGAGTGTTAACTAGAAGTATGTGATACAGAAAGTTTGGGGGTGGGGAGGAAAGGGGGTTGGAATTAATAAGTTAGATCTCAGTGCCATTGTGGAGTCCTGTAGCTTAGTGATTAGAGCACTTGCCCCACAAACGAGAGGACCTGGGTTTGATTCCTGGGCAGGGTGAAACGTTGGGCAAGCTTCCTTACTCCACACGCCTCCATTTGCCTAGCAGTAAGTATCATTGTCAGAGATGAGATAAACTGATGGCCTCTTGCAGTTGACATTAAAGATCCTGTGACATTATTCAAATAAAATGAAGGGAGTGTCTCCTGGTTTCCTGGCCAATAATCCTCTAGATAATATTGGCCATTCAATTCATGGCTGTTTATGGGACATTGCTACGTGTAACTTAGCTGCCGGATTCGCCTATAAAATATACAGTCACAGCACATTATCGCAAAATTCTGTTGAGTGTTATGAGACATTTCGTCGATGTGATGAGTCACTTTATCAAATGCAACAATTATTATTTATTATCTCCCTTAACCAGGTGGAGTTGGGGAGGCCCAAAAGGTTTAAACCAGTCTATTGGTGCCACGCGATAAAACACAAGTGTTTTCTTTATGAATCAAAACTCTTCCCCTATCTGAGCTATTCATAGATTCAGACAAGGTCTGCTTCTTGTCTTGATGTAAAGGCAAGAAACGTAGCAAAGCCTGAAAGCTAACCAGCTTGATGGCCAAGCTCAGATGTGACATTGAGAGTTGTCACGTTGGGTCTAACCTTTGCATTCAAGTAATGGGAAACAGTAACACAGTTGCTATGGAATCCAGCACTCCAAACAATGAGATTTTATCACAGTTCTATTCAGCGCAGCCCTCAGATCTGTTTTTGACGCTTTGCTCAGTTAACTCATTGTTATCTGAAAAAAGAAATAAAGTCTAGAGATCTATTTCTTCACAGTATTCCCTCCTGACATAATAATAACAACAATAAATTACATTTGTACAGCGCCTTTCACGTCAGGAGGACATCCCATGAGCTGAAAGACTGAAAACTATAATAATACTAAAATAATAATAATAATCCTTGCATTTGATATACAGCGCCTTATCACGTCATCGAGACGTTTCAAAACGCTTTATATACTGTAAAGTGAATTGACTGTGTATTTTGTGGCCGATTGTGCACAGCCAATTGATCACAGCAGTGTTCCACAAACAGTTGTGGATTGAGCGACCAAATTTTTTAAATTAGATAATAGAGAAGGAAATTTTTTTCAAAATTGTAGTTTCCCTGTAGTGAGGAATCATCACTTCAATATTTTTCAATGTTATGACTTGAATAAATAGAGAGAATAAATTGTGGACTGATTCTGTAATGAGACAGAATCAATTGAGGATCATCACCAGAGGTAAAGAAAGGGAAGGTTAGCGGGAATTTTTTTTTGCGCAAGAAATTTATTCTGTAATGTAAAATCATTACAAAACCTATGGGGAAACAGCTGAGAAGCAGGATTAATAAAAAAGGGGAAATTTTGAAAATCAAGTAACATTGGCACAAACACAATGGGCTGAATAGCTCTTCTGTGGAAGTCATTTCCATGTTTCTATGTTCAAATATGAAATAACTTATCGCAAATGTAGCTTAATGGTTAGAACACTCGTCTCACAAGCGAGAGGACCTGGGTTTGATTCCCGGGCAGGGAGAAACCTTAGGCAAGTTTCCTTACTCCACACACCTCTGTTTACTTTGCAGTAAGTAGGAACTCGGTTGATTGGTGGATCGATTTTCCAGGGGTAATAATGCTCCACATGCAAAATTGATTGAGACTCTCATGAAGAATTGCTAGT